GTCTCGGATCTAAACAATCCTTGTCTCCGGAATAAACGATTCAAAGTGCGAAATGCGGGAATGTGTTGTAGTATGTAGTAGTAGTCGTGGTGGTCATGTTCAGAAAAGGAGGAAAAGATAAGTTAGCCACTGGGTGACCCCTCGAGACGAGACAAGACTGAGAGAATGGAAAAAGAACGGATGAGGAGATGGAGAGACTCAGACGGATTTCACTTTGCGGTCAACACTCGAAATACATATGCCCTCTTCTTTTCTATCTTCTTTCTCCTCATGCCGACGTCTTTTTCGTTCGTTTCCCCGTTCATTTTCAAGAGTTTCTTGATTAATTCGATGAACACGAAGCAGCATGCTCCTTCAATCTAATTGACTGATGGATGTCTCGGCAGCTGTCAATTGGATTTCGAAAGTTTTAGATTTCGGATCACCGCTACAAATCTAGCAAATTTTATTTCAATTCGTCTATCAGCTTTTTTCACAAGTTTTAATTGAAACTATCATGGCTCCGATAAATATCAATAAATATCAGAGAGCGTTGCCCCCAAACCGTCAACTTTGAGCTAAATTATCTCGGTACCTATAAGAGATATCGAAAAATGTTCATCTGATAAAATATTTTCAACATTATGCTGAAATCTTCGTTAGTTGACTAGTTTTTGATATCTTTTACGGGAACCGAGAACAATTGACTCAAAATGGGCGGGCAAGGTGCAATTCTATTAAGGATTTTACAGTATAAGACGTGTGATAAACTTTTTAATTGGCTTTCAGTCGGCTACGTTTAGACATTTTGGATTGGAGACAAATGAGACAAAATACAGGAGTTCTGAAAAACCAATTTGACTGAAATTTGACGAAAAAGTCTAAAATTTTAAGAGCCTAAAATATTTTGAAAAATTAAACTCGTCTATTTGTAAAGCGACTTTTAAAATGTTGAAATAGTTTGGAAATCAATCAGGTTTTATGGTATTCGAGAATACAATTTTTTAAAATTTCAGAACATTTTAAGTCTTAGACATAGAGGTTTCAAAACGTTTCTAAAAGAACGACGAGAATTCTTATTTTTATAGTTTTCCTCTTGATTTTCAATCATCTCTATACAGTGATTTTCTTGCTTTGAACTATTATAAAAATTTAAAAATATGCAAAAAGCTCAAAATCGAAAAGAGCAACTGCTAATTGTACATATAGGAAGCTATTGTTATTTGCTTCTCCCTTCCCTCTCTTTTTTCTTTTTGTAAACAAAAGTACGGACAGACACACATATGCAACAAATTTCATCAAAAATTGGGCCTTCTTCTCCAGATTTTCAAAAAAAGAGAGTTCGTTTTCCATGTCATAAAAGGAGTAGGGTAGCTCAATTGAATCGGGTTGAAAGAAGAGTGAAAATGGGAGGATAGGAATGGAAAAAAATAGGAAAACAAGGAGAATAAGAGAATTAGGAGAAAAAGGAAAGAGTGCTCATGAATCGAAATGTACTTGACAAATGGGGACTACAACTCATAAATAGAAGAGGTTCTGAATGAATTTATAAATATAGGAAGAAGAAGGGGAATTAGGTCATAAAAAGGTTATGATGGTTGTATGTATGTCTTTCTGGGATTTATGACAGAAGGAAATGTGTCGTAAAAACTGTACTAGTGAAGATTGCTCAATGATTTTCCCATAATAAAAGTAGTGAGATAATCGCTCACAGGAGACTGCGAAAATTGTTCAGAATTATTAGCATAATATCGAAAAAAAAGGTTTTTTAAGGTTTTTTTTTGACAAGGTTATAGACATTAATTTAGCAAGTTTAATTTGAAAACAATTACACAGGCGAGCTCCGGTGCAGCAAATATAGGAACAACAGTTTTTCAGAAATCATCATCTTCCTCGAATAAATCAAAAACTCTGGATTTCACAGTTTCTTTCATATCGTTTCTTTTTTTTCTAAAATGTGAATGGGGAAATTCTAGACTCCTGAAATCTAGAAAACTAAAAAATTGAATGAAATAATAGAAAACCTTGGAATCTCAAAAATTCTAATTCGAACTATAGTAAAATCTGTAATATTTAGGAGGACACCCTTTACTTACACTTTGAGCTCAAATATATCAATTTCTACCAGGCATCAAAAATCTGATAAAATACTGATAAAATGTTTGTCATAATATCACCAGCATTTCATCAGTTGACACATTTCTGATATATTTTATAGATATTGCGATAATCGAGCTCAAAATACACTTACAAGGTGACCTCCTATTGGAGTGTTGACGGTATTTAAGTTTCACAAAATGCGAATTCCATACTTTTCGAGAAACTCCAAAAGTTCCTCAATCCTTCCCAAGAAGGAGGATGTTTTTCTTTTTTCGTTTTTAAATTGCGACTTGTCACTCAAGATTAAACTTGTCACCTGAATAGAAGAATGACTAAAAATAGGAATGGTGTCGCACTTTTAGACCTTTTCCCATTCTTCAGGGAAATACAAATTCTCGTTCTTTTGATGTGACATCACGGAATGAGGAAAGAAGTTTCGGATATTCGGATATCAGGATACACAGATAGGTAGAAAAAAGCAAAACTACTACGGTCAAAAACTTTCCTCTCTTTTAACATGTATAAATTCTTGAAGAAGTTTGATGAAGCTTCAGGAAAAGTTGAAGCGCTTCACAATTTCAGGAAAACGCGCCCATGGCACCCCAGCAGATTTTTGAGCGTAGAATAAACAGCTCGTGAAACAAACGATATTGATGACATAGAAGAAGAATTTAGAACACATGAGGTTTGAGGAAGAAAAAACTCGAGCCACCTGTTTGTGATCATTTTCTTCTTCTTCTTTTTTCTTGTTCAACATTTTGATTCGCTTCTTTTTCTTATTCTTTTTTGTGCTCATGTCAATTAATCTGTTAAACAATCAATCAATCTCATTGTTTCTTTTAACTAAAAGAACGGGCGATTAAGACAAAGGGAAGGTAGGAGGATACTTGACAAGTTGCTCACTAACAAAAAAAATGGGAAGAGCCGGATCGGCTCTCTAGGAGACATAAAACAATGGAAAAAGAAAAGAAAGAGTTCTTTTCTCTTTTTTATTCGTTTACTCTTTCTCTTTTACAAGCTCATATTTCTTTGAGAAGTACTGTAGGAGAGGAGAAGAGCAGCGGGATAAGGTGGTCAGGGATCGGAAAAAATTCCAAAATTTCTTAAGTTTTCAGAAGACCCTGGAACTTTTCAAAACCATTTTCAGAAAAATTTACATAGATAGCCTCCATTTTTTATGTAGCAGTTTTTTTCCACATTTTGATAACAATTTTATATTTTGGGCTCAAAAAAAAAAACTTTTAGGTGAGTATTTGAATCCTATCCAACCTTTTTAATGACCGAAATTGGTATTTTTGAAACTGAAATGCAAACTTCCAGTATCAAAAACTATCACAATTGAAGTTTTAGGTTCCAAAAAAGGAATTTGAAATCAAAACTAATTTTGGAGATTCAAAAAAAATGGTTAAACATATCAGATTTTCAGTACATTACGTTTTAGCAATATTAAATTCAATCAGAAATAAGAAGGAATTTCATGATCTTTCGATTGGTGCAAAAATCAAGTTGCTAGCTTAAAAACCAAGAAAGAACCACTTTCGAAAGTACCGTACACATTCAGACTCCCTTGACATTTACATTTGAGCTGATTCATCTCGGCTACTGTAGGAAATATAACTGTAGGAGATATAGATATCAAAAAGTTGTTGGCTGATTAAAAGTTTATCATAATGTCATCAAATTTTTATCAATTTAAAAATTGTTGATCTCTTCTAGGTACTGAGATAATTGGGTTCAAAGTGAAGAGGTGAAAACCTATGACAGAAAGGGAGATATGGTTCATCAGATGAAATGAATTAACTACTTTGGGCTGGTTACTGTAACAACCATCAATAATTTGAATAATTAAGTTCAGAGACTAGAGGCAGACCATAATCACCACGTCATGCTGTTGTCAGCCAACAAATAAAAGATTTCCCACCCAAATGTTTGTGTCTAGTCGCCCTACACTTGACAAATGAGTTGTGCTTGTTCCTCATCAAAACTGATTTGCATTGCAAACTGATCGCTTTTCCCGTCGCTCTTTCTTCTTGTCTCTTTTCAAAGTAATCGGTGCGAGTCAAGTGTATTTGAGTGCGGATTTCTCAAAACGTAGTCGCGGTCTCTTTTGTTGACACTTCCCTCCGGAACCATACATCTTTTCTAGTGAAACACCCCAAAACACAGATTTTAGCAAGAATTATCCGACTATCGTTTTCAATTGATGGTGAAGTACAGTACCTATTTCAGTGAAAAACAGTCAACTTTGGGGTCCACAAACGTAGTTCAGAGTTTTTCGATTTTTCTGAAAATCTCAGCATATATTGAACAAGAATAGACTCAGCAAATTTTTGTCACATGTGCCGCTGAAACGCGGTAATCGTGCCCGGGGGGTCGGGGCACGCATGCGCTTTGCGTGCCGTTTCCGTGCCGTGCTCATGTGTGCCGTTTTTTCTTCGGAATCGGGTGTTTTAATCGATTTACCTTTTATCAAACAGTTTATTACATTATAAACTCAATAAAAAGGATAACAACAAAAATTAGAACATTTAAAAGATTAGAAAATTTAAATTTGTAGGGAAGATTCCGAAGAGTGTGGTGATGAGGTTGATGAATTTTGATGAAGCTAAGTTTCTTCCTCCTCTTCTCCAGCTTCATTGATCTCGGGCTTGGCTTTGTGTCTCTGACCTGAAAAATAGGAACTAACACTATTAGTTTCAAATATTTTTGAACTTTGTTATTTTCAAACAACAATGTTCCGTTTTCACATATTGCCCCCAACTTACATATTTCACTTGAAATATTCCTCGTTGCTGGTCGGAAACTAATTTTTCAATCTTCGTTATCTCTCCACGCGTGGACCGTACGGTCGGACGTCTTCCCTTCTCGTCTCCATTTCTGACAAGATGTTCGATATCGTTGTCACTTGAACATGTCTCAACTCACCGATTTCCCTTCGGTGCCTTTCCAACTCTTTCCGACTTTCCAACATCTGCTACAGCAACTGACTGAAAACTAAACAGAGATACATTTCGTGATTTTCCAACGGAAAAGACGAGAAAACAAATCTAAAAAACCATAAAACGATGAAAATATGAATTTATGAGAATAAAACGCATTTTCGAAACTCAATGAATAGACACGAGATGCGCAGATGGTTCAAGAAGGGGCACGGCACCGGCACGGTAGCGGCACGCCATACGCGCGCTAGGGGCACGGTTGAGGTATTCCAAGGGCACTTTACACGCGGCACTGTGCCGTTTTGAAGCAAATCCTGTGCCCCTCTGTGCCCCAGCGTGCCGAAAATTTGCTGTGCGAGATTTAACTTTGTAGTTGACCTTTTTTTTGTAAAAATCCGGACATTTTTTTGGTTGCAAAGGCATATCTCATCAAGCCAATTACAAAAAGGAAGCCTTATATTTGTGGAGTACTCTGAACTTTTCAGAGCAAATATGGTGTATTTTTGTCTCGTTCTGCATATTGAATATGATTTAGTACATAAGAATCTGAATTTAATGGCGAAATGCAAAAATAAAGTTATTTTTGTTTCGATTAATTCCAAATTTTCAAAAAAAACTCCAACAATTTTCAAAACATTTTTTACCAGAAAAATTTTAAAAAAGGGAGCAGAAAAACTAAAACCTATAATAGAAGGGTCCCTTAACTCTTAAATTGAGCTCAAGTTGACTATGTAGGGCTCTTCTAATACACGGTTTACGGTATGTAGTGAGAAAATTTGCGGACTTGAAAATTCGAATTTGAAAAAAAAACCTGACCATACATAACAAAACTTTTTTTTAAAAGATTTTGAAAATCAAGTCCATCTAACACAATAAGCGAATTTCGGAGCGAGTATCAAGATCAAAATAAACATTATTGTATCAATTTCTTCTTCTCTCAAGTGTTCGATTTTTATGTACATCTGTTTTCTTGCTCTTTTTTGTTTTCATATTTACACAACATTGTCTTGATTTTAAATGGATGATGACCAATTTGGTTTATACAAAAAATGTTTGTATATCGAAACAACATCGGAACAATCGGACTCACCTGAGATTCCGAAAAATAATCGGAACTTGATTTTTTTTGCAGAATAATCTGAAATTTCAGAATTTCCCTGGAAATTCGATTCGGCATAAGTGCAATTTCAGAATTGTGTTCTGCTCAATCATTCGGTTTCTTCAAATCTCTATTTAGATTTTTTTTTGTCCCTAATGACAGCTCGCTTGTTGTTCCGATTCTCCTTTCCAAAGTTTAAAAAGGCAGCTTCATAAAACAAAGTGTGCAAAAAATAATGATAAAATATAGAATACATAGAATCGAGTAGGAAAAAAGGTACATATAAATATAAGGCGAACTAGGAACTTGTATAGAACCGGTATACATTTTAGAGAGAGAAAAAGAGGAAGAATTGAAAAACATGGAGAATATGAGAAATTAAGTAAAAATTATATAACGGATACCCGCAAGAAATAGTAAGCACTTTAAAAAAATTTTGAATATGATACATAGGGAAGGCAAGAAGTGAATATGAGGGAGAAGAAGAAGGAAATACTGAAAATAGGGGTGAGAATCATCCTCGAGTAATTACATATGGTAAGCCACGTAGATTGCATTCAGTTTGTCCTCCAGCAACAGCGTACGAATTGTGCTTCGAAGTTTCTCTCCTCCTGGTCCATGACGAATCGTTCCTGGATCTACGATAACAACGACTCCAACAATGAGATGATGTTCTTCGAGAACAGCTGACGTGATGGCTGGGACAAGGTCAAGAGCATCGGATTCGCTACCAGTGCATTCGGCAACTATGACGACAAGATGATTCCATGTGAAGACAGCTCTGGAAAAAAATGATCTAGGATCCAAGAGAAAGCTTCACTTACGAATTTCCAACGAATCGATGCGCCTTGCTAACAGTATTCTCCACATCAAACGGATGATATCTCATTCCACGTAGCACTAGACTCTCATTGAGTGCTCCAACCACAAACACCGCGTCGTGCAACTCTCCATGCTCCGTAATCGATTGTGTCTGTCTTAAGAATCCAAGATATCCAGTTCTGGCCCATCTCGTCTTGGTGTCTCCAGTAGTCAGACGAGCGTTGTACACATCCGCGTTACACGTGGCACCGCCATCATCACCAAACGTTCCAGTGACCATTCTGTTGAGTGGAGATGCGTTATGAATTGATGACACCCAGATTTCTCCGAGATGCGAGTCCGCGCACTGTCCTCTGGTCTCCGGATTAGCGATGGCGATTTTGACTCCGGGTAGAAGTTTTCCACTTTCAATAAGAGCCACACTATGCGGCGCGCCTTTCCCAACCAAGGATATTCTATCATTACGAAGTGCTCTGGCATCCACGTAGACTGTTGATGGCTCTGGTCCAGATGCTCCTTGCATACAAATCGCAGCATTTACTCGGGAAGAGAAGGAAGTGGAGATGGCACGATTGTTGAGAGACAATGGAGCAAATAGTTTGCAGAATGAGTTCATAAGAGCAATTCTCGGACGCTCTTCTGCGATAGCTACACAACTTCGGAGCATCGAAAGGTTGCATCCCCGTTCTCGAAGACTTTCAACTGAGCTGGCGAGTTGGGTGACACAAGAGTTGATTGTGGAGTAGGTGGTGAAGGCATCACGAACTTTCAGATTAGATAGAGTTGTCAGGAAGAGAGACGGTTGTTGTTCAACTTCTGCCGGTGGAATCAGAGTTGTATGATGTCCAGAATATACGGATGATAGACACCAAAGGACCAAGGAGATTCCAGAATACGGTGGAGCGCATACTACGACATGACGAGATGGATAGAGCTCTGATGATACTTTAATGCTCTTGCAAACTGTGATCGCCGATGCTTCAGACATTGAGGATCCTTGAAGTTGTCCCGATGAGTTTATCGAAAAGTCTAGGTAGCATATCTCATCTTTCGATGCAGCTCCACTACTTCCCGATGCCGTCGTATCACAGTTGTTATTCTGTTTCCGTCTCCAAGACGATGGAGCGTCTTCCATATCCAGAATCATGGGCCATGCATTCGAGTCAATGCTATGCGCGGCTTCTTTACTTTTGAGAAGTTTTGAAACGTTTTGTGGTGCTAGAATTGCCACGGCTTTACTCATATCAACCATCATTCTGATCGGTCCGAGTGTTGTATTGAGATCAGATGCCACGGGCGGTCGAATGCACACAGGTACCAAACCAGCTGACAGACATCCGAAGAAAGCGGCAACCAAATCAATTGATGGAGGGAATATGAGTGCCACGTGGTCTCCACGACTCAGACGGGCTCTATCGGTTAGCAACCCAGCTATTCTTTCAGCTCGTTTCAGGAGAGTAGCACAGGTGGCTGTGTCTTGTTCTGCGTTCTTCGCACTGACCAGAGTAAGAATGCGATGATCAGGAGAAGATTGAGCTCGGGATCGGAGGCATTCCAATAGTGGGATAGCCGGCTCATCATCAATATTCCTTCCCTTGGCGACAGCAATACGAACTCCTTGAACTATATTTCCAACAAACATCGCAGCCGGTCCAACATCCGCCTGACGTTCACGTGGCTTCGGTAGGTTCAAAACACAATTGTGTGGACACATCAGAAGAGTGCTCGGATGGAGGTCTCCATTCTCGAATCGTTGTTTTGTCTCTGACACGTGGACTCCACCCAAAGGAGTTTTCGGCAGATGATTGGCAGGGACAAGGGCGCAGCAGTAGATTCCAACTTGATGTATCGTATCGATAGCACGGAGAACTCGAGTGATCCACTGAAGCTATTTAGGTTTAAACGGAGAGTCCGAAAATTCAAAACTTACATCAAACGCCTCTTCCTCCGAACAATTTGGCTTCTGTTCCGCCACAATCACAATTCGTTCATCCCTTAACACACTCGTCGAGAACACACATATCCTTCCTCGATACACAAACTTCATTGGTTCGACTGCCAGTACCGTAGCGATGATATCATCAGCCGAGTGGTATCGTCCAGAAACAGCGAGCAGCGATTGACGACGTGCCACAACAAAAACCATTCCGTCTGGACCCATGAATCCGATCAAACCACTTCGAACATAGCGAACCGCTCCGATTGGTTTTCCGTACTCTCCAAGCGGTTCGACTTTGAATGTGTGTGTGTCTGTCCTTCGAGAGCCCAGTAGAGTTGAGCAGTCGAGTTGGCCGATACGCAGATTTCTCCGATTTCGTCTGCTTGACAAAGTCGGTTCGATCCGTCTATGGCAGTGACGACGACAACAGCTCCAGCAACTATTTGACCAGCGTCCTAATGCATATTCAATTATTATTAAGGTCTAGGTCACAGTATCTCACCTGTAGTGTTAAACTTGTCAACGAATTCTCTTGATCCACTCTCACTACACAATGACTTAAGGCCGACATCGAGAGCACACCTCGTCCACTTTGACTACCCAGCTGGGCATTTCCTCTTCTCCGAATGGAAATCGTACCAGTCTCTGAACTTCCCGCACATGGACACATTGCATCTGGCCGAAGACTATACGGTGCAGGAGTGAAAGCGGCTGCGAAGGCATCACAAGATGACAGCGACCATGGATTGGCTCCATCGGCGACTAGAAGAGTTCGAAGAGATGCCAACGAGATGTCCTTATGATCTCGTGTGGCCAGGAGAGCCCAGTGAAGGTCTCGAGACTTTACCAAAGCGGTGGTAGCCTGGTATTTGGAGACCATATGCATCCACGTGGCAGGATTCATTTTCATTAGAGAATAGGGGACGAAGATAACTTTCATTCCGTTGAAAACAGATGCAAGGATGGAATGCCATAGACCAACTTCTCGTTTGAAATCCACGACACACACCATGGTTTCATCTGGAATTAATAGAAAATAACATTTACTCAATCAGAATCTGTAATCCACCTTCTTTATACTCCATGGCTGTTGTGAGTGCTCGACAATGGGCGAACACCGCTTGCCTCGTTACACATACTCCTTTCACAGTACCATCATTTCCAGTCGTGTACTCGATATACGCAATCGTCTCATCTGCCAATCTGGGTGGTGCTGTCCAATCGCGTGCTGGTTTTGACATGTGCTCTGTTACAGCCCACCACAATCTAGGCCAGCCTCGGAAGTCTACAATCTCATTGCTTGTTCCAGTCAGTGACGTGGATCCAGAAGGAGCTGAGAACGCCGAAGAGGTGTTCACTTTTTTTGGGAGACCTTTGTAACAGGATTCTGAAGTGAGAGCAACTTTGACACCACAGTTTCCCAAAAGGAAACCGAGCTGTGCGATTCCAGCTTCCCGTTTCGATGATGGCATTTCAACAGGTACTGGGATGACTCCAGCTTGCAAGCATCCATAGAAAGCCGCTAAGAAATGAAGTGGTTGAGTGTTTGGATAGATCAAAGCAACACGATCTCCAGGCTTGCACATTACATTCTTAGAACCATCTTTGTTGACTTGCACGGTCTTTGTGAGGAGCATATATGCAACTTTTCCAGCTCGACTGTGAAGTTTTCCATACGTTAGTGACGTTGAAGGCTTGGCGGATTGGTCGAGCACCATTGCGGCGATGTTCTTGGCAGCGGTGGTACCGAATCGGTGGAAGGCGCTGGAAAACAATAGATTGAATATTGAATAATAGGAATATTCTAGATTCCACCCTACCTATCCAGACTTCTCGGCATCGTATTATTCGTGTTGGAGTGTGCGGCCTCGCCTCTCACCGGATTCATAATCGTGCCTTCGGGCCGTGGCGCATCTGGATCCCGAATCTTCGCCATCGCTTCTAGTTCGGCATCATCGTCGTTGTAGTAGTCTTGGAGAGGTTTGCTTCGGGGTTTCTGAAAAAAAAGGATTTCAAAACCACGATTTCCTAGAACGTCTCAAATTTCAGGATTTTCAGTTTTTTCAGCCAAGTAGTCTAGAAAGTTCGAAATTTCCCCCTCCACTTATGTCGTCATGCGAGATCGCAACACCTGTTGTTTCCGCATTCCAATCGAGTTTTTCTTTTTTTTAATTGACATTTTATCTCCCTTCTGAGATTCTAGGATTCCAAGCAGACACTAAAAAGTTGCGAGAGAGCAGCGATAAACAAGTTCTCGAGAAGTCCCTGGCAGTTGTCTGGTGGCTATAAAATTCTCTCTCCCATTCTTCTTCTTCCACCCTCAAGTCCAGATGAAACCATCTGGACTTGGCGCCGTTTTGCAGGAAACAAATCTCTAGAGAGAATATCAAAAATCGAGAGACACAAACATTTTCCGAACACATCTGTGTTCGATTTTCGAGCCCATCACACACAGATATTCCACGTGTTTTCGTTTAGAAGGAGTTTTCAGTGAGATAAAAACTGAATCCGTTATGGTTCAAAGGTTAACAAAACCCCCTAGAGCAAAACATGGATTCTGTTACATTTTGTTGATTGATTAGACTGGCGACAACAGGGATCCTGGACAGGGTGCCAATGTGGAGAAAAGAGACAAACGGACGAGAAAATATGACATATGACACATGTAAAAGTGATGGTGACGAAAAGGAGGGAAAATAATATTTTCAACAAAATTCCAGATTTTTTTTCAACTTCTTTTTTGAAAAGGTAGACAACCCTTTTGTCACAAAAGTAAAAGGTTTTTCGAAAGCAAAAAAGTGGGCCCATTTTCCCTGGGTGTGGCCTGCCGTTCGGGAAAGTGTGAGGTGAACTGGTTTCAGCTAATTATATAGTGAATACGCCCCCGTTTGACAGGAAAAAGGGAACGAGAATCACTTTCAAAACAGTTTTTCTCTCGAGAAACAATTACAGGATAATGGAGATTCACGAAATCTAGGATTTTGGAGCCCATAAGATCCAGAAGAAATCATTTTCTATGAACCTGAAATCTCAATATTCTATGGAGCCTAGAGACTATAAAATGCGAAATTTTAAGATCCAATATCTAGGATTACAGAAAACCAGGGTTTATCGATTTTTGGGATCCAAATGTTTTCTTCTTTCTCAACACAAAGTTTATTTAAAAACTTGTGGTTTGAGAGACAGCCTTCAAAAAGTTATTGACAAGTTTTTAAAAAATCCAAAAACTCAAAAACAACGAACCAATTCATAAATCGTCTGATTCAATTTCCATTTTTTGAATTTCCCGCTCTGTCGAACCCATCCCACAGTCATCTCATCGAAATCTTCATCATTTTTGAATTGATTTTTTCTTTCCTTTGGTACATCTCTGGACCGAATCTCTGGCTCACTACCACTTCTATGAAACGATGACCATCGGAAACTATGACAACTGTCTTCTGTGCTCGATGTACTTGGACCAACGGAGCATTGAACAAAATTCAAATGTTTTCGAATCTGTTCTTCATTCCGTGTGGCTCCGAATCCGGGAACAAAATCGACAGAAGAAGTGATAGTGGCACAGTCATCCAGCTCGTCCTCATCTCCATAAGATGGTTCACATACATGATGATACTTAGGTAACGGGGGTCGCGAAGGGATCAAAGACGCCGAGGAGGCCGGCGACGAGGAAGCATAACCCTCTTCAGCGGATCTTTGCTGTTTCACCTTCTTCTCTTTCAGTGAAACTGCTTTCCGAGAATGGAGCTGAGCCAGATATTCTTTATGGTTCTCACTGGAGAGTTTTCGTGAAGCATGAGTTTGATTGAATAGTGATGGACCAGAAGAGCTAACAGTCTGACGGAGATATCTCGTCTTCCGGAGAGCCATACTTGGGAAGTAGACCCGTGACGGGTGTTCGGTCGTCATTTTTAGAAAGAGAATAAAGTCGAGTAGAATAATGTATACGGCGGAAATTTGAAAAAAAAATAGCAAGAATACGAGAAACTAGAGAAACTTGTCAAGAAGAAAAAGAGAAGAACAATTCCGAAAGCTCTGATCTAGCAAGGGAAGAGACGACGGAAGGAAGGAATGGGCGGGATCCCGCAGAATCTCGATTGCACAGAAGGGATCATCATCTCGAAGTGCTTCTCCATTGGTCAGCTGTTGTTTCGGGAGGATAGAGACACGAGATCCATCATCTAGAAGGGGTCTCTGGATTCGAAAGGGGGGGGGGGGACCAATGTAGAAACAGACCGAAGGTATCGGTCAGGAAATTTTTCTACGGACCTGTGTAGAGATTTTGCAGAAGTGTCGTGTTTCATGTGTACTTTTTTTTCAAACATTTTACATTTTTCAACTACATCTTAAAAGTGCAAAAAGCCTCACCTGAAGTGCATTCACAACGTTCTGGATTTTCGACGACACTTTTGTTGGTTTGAGCGCTGAAAATGAAAATAGGTTGGCCTTTAATTCTTGGAATTCTTCCGGTACTTATAAATAAATTTTAAATTTCAAGTATTCGGATTAATCGGTCGGTGATCAATGATTTTAGACCAACCGAAATGGAGGTCTTACTTCTTTTCGAAGTTTAGACAATTCCAAAAAAGAAGGTACTACATGAAAAATCAAACTTACGCAAAACTGCATTCTGATAGTCTTCATTTGGCGATGGTACCCTTCCCGATCCTCCACCAATCGTCGTATTCACATAAACTGCTTCATCGTCACTCTGCTCCAGAATATGATGATGGCGATGATCGTTCAATGAAGTTGTTTCCTCAATTGTTGTTTCGATTTCCTAAAAAACTAATAAATAATGACAAAAAGCTTTTTGGCGGTGTGGGGATGAAATGTTTCTATGGCTTTGTGTGTAATCGTAATCGTTTAATGAGGCTATTGATGGGTTGAAAGGGGAAAGAGAGAAGAGAGAAGGAGGGGGAGGTGATAAAGAAGATAAATGGGGGAAAAGAAGACGATTTATTTACGGGGAAGAAGAGTGGCAAAAAGAAGGAGTGGTCAGTTCGGAATTTTGAAAACTCTTAATCTTCCTATTACCTTTAATAAAAGAACATCCAAGCAGTCAGTTTTGAGTTCAATTATCTAGGTTCATATAAGGGATATTAAAAATCGGTCAACTGATAAAATGCTCGTCATAATACCCTTAATATTTTATCAGTTGACAATTTTTTAAAATATCTTTCATAGTAATCCAGATGATTGAGCTCAAAGTTGACGGTTCGGATGAGCTTTTACCATAGGAAATACGGTATTCAATCTAGAACCTAACTTGATTTTTTTTTAATGTAATGCTCTTTTCTTCATGAAAACTCACCTCTCGATGCGGTGAAATCCGTATCGCCTCTCCATCGGTCACAATAATTTTACTATTTCGGTAGTCTTGCCTGGCTACCCGAATCACTTCTCCTCCTGGCGCTTTGGGTCGGATTCGTGCCTGCACGTACTCTCCATAGTCCTTCTTTTGTTGCTGAAACTTTGAATGAGATGGATAAAACTGAAGAGAGGTCAAAAATTATAGCCTGAATTTCAACAAGCTGACACTCCAGACACACATAAACAGCTTGACTTGATTTTCTCCGTTCTTAAATGATATATCAAAATTTTATCGACAACTACAGCAAAACCTGTATTAGAAGAGCCTTCTCTCCTTCTATTTTCTCAAGTCCATCTCGGAGGGCCTTTCTAATACAAGTTTTACAGTACGCCGATTTCAAATAATTCTCAAAAACTCACATCATTTCGATCTCGATTCTCTTGTACCAGCCTCAACATATCCTCAACAGCTCTCTCCTTTCTTGGACCTCCACTTCGTCGTTCCGCCGTGTTTTTCGCAATAGGCGGTGGGGGTACATCTGACGTCGTCGTCGTCTCCTTCTTTTTATTGGATACTGAAATACATATCTATTCGAAAACGGGTTTTCGAAAAAAAAAAGAGATATGAAAAATATGCATATTTGATAAGCATATCTTCCTGTTGACACATTAAAAGGTCTCAAAATTTCGGATATCGAAAAAAAAAGACTCACAGAGAGAAGCTGTCCGTGGTGCCGTTTGTGGTGGGCGTGTCAGTGTGGAGTCCTTCTTTCCAAGTGTTCCACCGTTCACACTGTCTTCGTCTTCTGATGAAGAGTCTGGAAAAATAGGGATAACAGGGATGAAGAGGGCAATTTGAAATTTTTATTTTTCTGGAACATTTTGAGGAAGCCGGACATGTTTCTTGGCACTCTAGGCATACTGTATTACTCACAATAAGCACTCTGTCTAATGGCAGTCACCCTGACAACTCTCCCATTAACCCGTAATTTTGTAATCTGTGGAGATGACATCGACGGCGACGCTGGCATCGCTTTCCGCGCCATTTTCGGCGTCCGACTCAATTTTGGAGATGGTGGAAGCTGAGAAGACGGCGTTCGAGAAGTGGGCGACGGAGGTGGAAACATCCGTCGATGAACGGATGGAGTAGATGGACTTCGTTGGGCCGGAAACCCAACGTTCGCCTCGAATTTCGGACTGAGAGGGGGTACCGGCGAGCCATTTTGTTTGGTGGGATTTCGTACAGAAGTTACAGCGATGATCATAGTGATTATTTAGTTGTGGGGGTTCATACTGGAATTTTTGAAATCCGATAAGAGAGAAAATAGAGAATGTTCGTAAAACGGAATAAAAATTCGTACAATGAAAAAGAAGAAGCTTCAGAAGTCAAGTCGAGCGGAGAGAAAAACGGCGTCACACACGCAGAGACATCCGAGTAATTACTCACATTCGGTTACACCGTTTAATGGATCAAGAGGGTGTAACAGAGAGGAAGATGTACTTGGGTTCTGTGAAGAGGCTTGAAAAAAAAGGTTTGGGTAATTAGGAAGCTTGAATATGGAAATTATGAAGTACGCAGGATTCTAGCTGCTGTGGTATGCTGTTGCGCTTTTATTAGTAGGTGGCGTGGCAAAGTTAACGTCTCAAGGAAACTTAATTTTAAGGTGGAAAGTCAACTGAAAATAAGGAGAAATTTGAATTTTCTCATTAAAGCGCATCAACATACCCGAGAAGTTGGTTGGGAGGCCCCGCAAATTCCGGGGAAAAAAACCGGGGAAAGTGGGCGGAGTCGAGAAAAGCCGTGCGGCAAAACCGTGCCAGGGTTGCAATTTAGGCTCCGCCCCCTCATGACCGTGTCCAAATGTGCAGAAAAACCGTGCCAGGGTTGCATTTTAGACTCCGCCCCTGATTCCGCCCACTTTTCCCCGGTTTTTTTCCCCGATTTTTTCTTTCCCCGGAATTTGCGGGGTCTCGTTGGTTGGAACCCTGACATTTTCCAAGGAATACGAGAAACCACTGTATAAGAGAGAAAACAACGAAAATCTTTCTCAGAACCCCTTTGCATAAATTAGAATCTCAGAAAAAAGAAATCAAGAAAGTCAATTTCCTTCAAATCCTTGTCTTCTTCTTCTTTCCAAAAAACAATGATTCATTAGGTTTCCGGTGTCTTCTGGGGGGAGGAAATGAAATAAAGTGACGGGAGTTGGTTGAGAGTTTCGAAATATCGAGATAAGAAAAAATGCCTCCTAAAAGACGGGGGAAAAGGAAAACCGAACGAAAAGAAAAAACATGTAAGAAAATTGAGAAAAGTGCTCGTTTGTCAGCCCGAAGGAACAAAGTATTCCATTACTGCAACGGCACTTTTGTCGAGGGTTTTTTTTATATTAAAAAGGTTTTTTGTTGAAAAGAGGACAAAAAGAAGGACAGAGAACGGTGGCAACAGAGAAAAAAGCAAGAGGAGGTCTGATCAAACAAATAAAACTAGTCCTATATACCTCTTTACGGTAGTTATTTCTCTTTCTCTCTCGGGAGGATATATGGAAAGAGAAGGTGAAAAAACTAATAAATAAATATATATAAAAAGACTTCAAAAATACCGTAAATACACTAATAGAAGCCCAAATAGTCCAATTCGAGTTCAATTATCTCGGTTCCTATTAGAGATATCAAAACGTTGTCAACTGATGAATTAATTATCATAATATCCCCAGTAGCTTATCAGTTGACAAAATTTCGATGTCTCTCACCGTAGTTCGAGATAATTGACGTCAAAGTTGACGGTTTGGGTGGGCTTCTATCTGAAGAAATACGGTAACTGATTGACCTAGTTTTCCAAATTTTGACATTTGCTCATTCTTAGGTCACTTCTATTTTTTTTTTGAAACTGTTAAAAACATCTGGTTCTCGTTAGGATTTACCTCAAGGGTTCTCTACACCCAATTCCAAAAACTTTGGGCCAAAGTGTTATGCATGACGAGCAAAAATAGAAAAAAGGTGAACTTCGTCATCAAAAATTAATCGAAGCGGATTCTCTCCAATCAGATTGGATTTGAAATCTCAATGAAAAAAGTGTGTAGCTGAGTAGCCGAGTAGCACACCATCACAATAGTTTTAACTGCACCCTACTCCTCTTTCTCTCATTTTCCTCCTCTTTCCGATCATCGCTTTTCGTGTAGAATGACTAGTCGGATCAGAGAGAGAGAGAGAGAGAACAAAAAGAGATAGAGAGGTAAAGTAACCAGGGACGCAGCAGGAGAAGAAGAAGAACTAGGATATTCGATATATATTCAAAATGTAGTAAGGGGGACTTCCGATATACTACTACTACTAATGTGCTCCTCCTCAGGCGGCCAAAATGATCATAGAATCAATCGAAAACTACGTGTATATATCTTTTCTGTGTGCTGAGTGATGCAGCAAAATCTCCTTCTTCCAATCATATGGCACTTGAGGAAAGGATAAACGAGAAGGAAGGAAGGAGGAGGACACCAACATTAATCGACATGATGAGATGTCTCTTGGAAGAAATCAAAAATCCTTTTTGCTTTAACTTTACATTTTCAACTTTTTGGCTTTTCTGCTATAGCCTATTGATATGCAAAACAAGCAGCATTGTGTGTACGTAGGACTATAGAATTTATGAAATTCCGATGATACATTTTCTGGATTCGTGTGCTATTATGGTACAAAAAATTCGAGCTGTGGACGAGAAGACGCCGGTGGCCATTGCCAAAGGTCTCTTAACAAAAATTACAGTAACCTGAGAATAGTTCTGAGAAAACAAAAAACACCCAAAGATCTTTCCCCTCTCCACAATTTCCCACAAAACAAGAATTCTTCTAAAGTGCTCCCTTTTCCTTCTCTTAAATCTTTCCGGTTTCCAAGATAACACTTGGAAGAGGACGATTACCCCAAGACACATGTCCGATTACCCTCTAACAACCCAGAAGAAAGCAATTTTCCCACCTGACAACATCCTCCCACCGCCGTTCGCTGTTGCTCGTTTGTTTTTTTGTGTACTCGAACGGCTGACCGCTGCTCCGTTCCGTCGATGGGGCTTCACTGGCTGTGGGCCGAGCTTTCGACCGTCGGAATACTCGGCCAGCGCTTGGTGGACAGCTTCGACGCGAATCTCTGAAAAACGTTTCCTATTTTTCCAAATTCTGAAGAAAATCTCTTACCAGAATGATATCTATCCTCATCTCTCGTCACTCGTCGCTGATTTCTTCGATTAGATCGAGAATTCGGCGATGCCGTTGATGGTTCTGTATGCAGAGCTGCAGTGTCTTGTAAATTCCTAAAAGGCGCTAGAAGCGCATCCCGTTTCTTGTCGTATCCCTTTTTGGTGATGTCCCCTTCGCTCAATTCCAAGTCCAACTCGGCCAACTTTTCCCTTATCTCGTCGGGAAGTGTGTCCGGATCATTCATTATCTGCAGATTTCGAAATACTTTTTGGAGAAGAAGAAAAAAGAGAAAAATAAGAAAAGCGATTGCAATAGAACGATGGTGGAGTCATGAATTGTTGAGAAGGCAATTATTTCAAGGACCATGAATTGCGAGAGGCAAGAATGGATATTTCGATTTGTCATCAAAACCTTCAAGATTTTTGAAGAGTGGACACCCAACAGATCACCAAAAAGTGTAACACTGTCGTCGGCACCTATGGCTGAGCAGCGAAAAAAGTTTACAACGATGAGCAGTCCTGTCATATCATATCCTTCTTCTTGTTCGCGAACACTCTGGGAAAACACGTGCGGTGGATTCAAAAAATGATGTTGCATATAACAACAGTACGACAGATACAACAGACACAAAGATAGACAAGTGGCGTCTTGGGAGATGAATTTCTAATCTAATAGGGAAGATCTTCTTGAGCTACCGCCAAGGGGAGGGAGGTCCCTCCGTTTTGAAATTTGTGTTGAATTGATGATATTACACTATTTATAACACAACACATTTTATCGGGATGAGTCAGTTTTAATTGATTGGGAAAATGATGATGAGGAATAGAACTCAAAACAGGTTTTCTGTTAAAGAAAATTTGAAAAATAGCATAAAAATCGGAAAACTGTGCAGTTTTTCGCAATGGTGTTCGCACGAACAGTTTATTTCACGACAATGGAAAGTTCAGCAATTCGGGCTATGTCCCTTTAATCTAAGTTACTGTAGTTTTTAAAGGTGCAGTCAGTTTATCTTCAGGTCTCGAAGCGATTTCTTTGAAAATGACATTCTCGGTTTTTTTTTCAGAAAATTCACTTTTTAAAGAATACGAAAACTTTTTCGAATTTGAAGCCAAAAGTCCCACTTTTTAAAAATCAAAGTCATCAGAATGCAAACGAAAACTCGAAAACTATTTAACAAAAAATTCAAATCCTTTCCACCTGTCTTCTTTTTTTTGACCGATTTCCCACAAAAGTTCTAAGATCCCTATTCATACACAAAGCGAACAAAGAAGACACTGATTGATTCTCTCCGAAAAAGTATCGAGGTGCAAAGAGCCCTTCCCTTTCTTCCGTACTTGGTAACAGTAGGAGTGTGCAAATATAAATAGGAAGAAGCGCTGTTATGTTCAATTTGAGAGTGTACTTTTGGCAACATTTGAATCGATACATCCTATGAAAATTTGGGTACTCTACACTTATCAACAGAAATAAACAAAAGAATACAAAAAAGAAGGTGACTCAGGTTGGTGATGGGTCGCCAGAGAGACAAACATATATACCAAGCAGTCGGAAATGAAATGGCAGGAAAAGATAGGGAAGGGTATAGAAACCTTGAGATTGAACTGTCACTTTCAATTTCCACCAGGTGGCCATGAGTAGGAATGACCAGTCACAGAAGAATGAAGAACAGTTCAGCTGGGCTGAGCCATCATCACAAAACTACCCGACCCGGAGCACAGGGTTTCTCCGAAGGGACGAGGAGCGTACACACATTCAAAGGGAAAACGGGACGGGTCAGGCCAATATGTGTCTGACCGCACTCCACACCAGTCAGCACTATCTCGCTATTGTAGCCGTGTGTGCAGTGGCGAGTAACTGGATGCGCATGTGATGAGGGAGTACGGCAACCGAAGAGAGTTGCCAGAGACGACGAAGGGAGGAAAATGGACACGGGCCGACGAGTGCTTGGCTACTTTAACTGGCCCCGTCGGAAGAAGAAGACGATGGCGACGAAGTCGTCGTTGTGTCCTTTCTTCAATTTGGTCCAGAAAGGGGAGGTGTCCTTTTGTCGGAATAGAAGAAGCAACATTACGCTGATTTGAAACTTTCAAAGTTTCAAACTTGTTTCTTTGGAAGGGACATTTTCGGAAATTTAGGAAGAAAAATTTTTCCGAAAAACCAAACAATTTATTTCTTCTTTCTCCCAGTCTTCTAATTTTTTCAAAATTAATTTCCCTTCTGTCAGCTTTTTCCGGAAAACGCTTCTCATTTAATTAAGTTGAGGCTCCATCAATCAAAAAGGCCAAATTATCCTTCAAGAACCCGCACCCGCTCATTCCCTATTCCGTCGGAGTCCAAATAGTCCATCTGGCGTCGAGAAGTACTTGTGTTCCCCGTCTTTTTCTTTCTCAATGAATATTTCATTTCGTTTGGTTTTCTGGGATTTTTTCGAGAAGGAGTTCATATAACAAGAAATTTTCGCTATGCAAAATCAAGGGGAAACAATCAAAATAAACAACTAAAGCCTAGAAATAGATAGAAACGACCTAGAAAAAAAACAGATACAAAAATTGATTTCTATACACATTTTCTGATATGAAGCCAAGCAATAAGAAGAGGGGATGAGGCAATGGTAAGCAAGTATATCCTTCCAATAGTCCTGCTGAAAAATGGGGCGAGAAGGGCAGCCGAGAAGAATAGGGTGGATGGAAGGGTCTGCGAGATTGGCACACATGGAAGTGGTGTTCCTCCTTCCGGTGAATCCGAATAGAACTCATCAATAATTCTGAAATACGCCAGAGGATGAATGACCCCAAGTCACGATACATACCTGTCTTTCTCGACGAATCTGTCTATGGTCCAGTTGCGCAGCGATAGTTTCTCTTTTGGTACCTGCAGAATTCCGGGATCTTATAAAAATCTGTGAAAAAGTTTCACCTGTTCAATTGGAATCCTATTCAAGTGGATGTGCAGATGCTTGAAAGTTTGTGGTCCGCAACAGAAATCAAACATTCCCGGTGCCATACCACGTCGTTCCGGCACCCTGAATGATGAGATTATAGCAGCAGCCTATTCATATCTCTTCCGCAAACCTCATTTGTCCATACATTACAGTAACATCATAGATAGCGTCAAGTGTCGACAAATTGTCGAGTGCCAATTGTAATCCGCCACTGCGCGGACACAAAACATTCTGCATCGGCTGACGGCCCTGAACGTCATTGAAATCGTTGAAAGAGGGGAAAATTACAATGGGAAACAACAACGTACATTCGACTCTAAAAACTGATTGCTACTCTTCACCAACTTCTTCTTCTTCGCTGTCAAACGAGTGCCTTCAGGGAAAATCAACAACCAATATGGGGGCATCGACTGGTTCAACCAGTTTAACTGCCGTAGAACCGGTGCTCCAATGAACTCTCCGAATCGTCGCACATAGATATACCCATGCTGGAATATATACCATCCGAACATTGGCACCAGATGAATCGAGTTCTTGACCATCACACGAAACGCTTGTTCATTTCCTCCATCTCCATGCCTCGCCGCCAACATCACCGGAATGATCCAATCCACGTTGGACTGGTGGTTCGAGACTAAAAGTGCATTTTCCGGAGCACCACTTTTGTTGAGGACCTCTTTGGAGCCGTATACCGTGATTTCTACTCCGGATAGATTTTCGAATACAAAAAGGCACAGACGCATGTACGATTTATAGAGCATGTTGTCTAGTTTTTGAGCGATATGACTAGGCACAATCCAAGAAGCTCCGCCGATCACAATGGCACAAGAGGCGAATGGAACCATTGATAAGGAGAGCAGGGAGCATGGCACGATAGGTTTTAGGGCATCCACAGCCACGGTTAGAGAGATTAGCATCTGGAAATTCTGATGCTTTGAAAAATTCTGAATCGGGGAAAGGCAAAAAGGTACAAAGATCAAATATACACTGGAGACGACAGAGCCACGTGACAACAGGGGAGAAGCGATTGATACTTTTATGTACATTTGGAGAGAGAATCAACAAGTTTTGTTTATCACAAGGAAGACAGGAAAAAGGAACAATTATTACAGACTAGAATTGAAAGAAATGTAATGACACATGGAATTTGAATGCTACAAATACAATTATTTGAAATTAGATGATATGTGTTGCTCTGGTATTTGGTCTTCTGAAATTGTACATAGACTTCATGATGAAGTATTGAACTCCACCGATGACCATAGGTGTGAAGAATAAAATAAGAAGGATCGTGCTTTTCAGGTCCTCAGTGGTCACTTTGTTTTTCAAGTACTCCTGAAACCCGGTTTTCTTATCAGTTTCCGTTCCTATTGAATGAAGTACTTACCTGATAACCAGACTGATTAAGCAAGTAGACAATCAACACAGGAGCCACAGATTGGGCTGGTTTTACGAAAAGCGCGTTTAGACTGAAAATGATCGATGGGATTCCGGCGGGTCTGCTATTTTTCCGAGCATCGTCATCGACGAAATCAGAGATAATGATATTGAAAAGTGGAGCTATGGTGTGAACGGTAATGCTGAAAACGGAACGAGTATGGTGAGGAATGTTTTCAAAAAAAAAAATACTTACCAATCTATAAACATGAAGAGCATAATGAGATATGGATTATAGGACACCACAATCATCAATCCAGAGAAAAATGAAACGATATAGCTTGCAGCGATCACATTCACAGCTCCAACTCTAGCAACAAGTTTCTCGTTTAGAATCAGCACTATTTGGGGTCCAAGGGTGAGAGCCATGAAGAATAAACTTAGTTTCACAGATCCACTTGGCAAAATATCCTGTGGAATTACGACTTCAGTGATGATAGATGCGAAGTTCATATGAGCGATACTACGGGCAGTGTGGAAGAAATTGGTGAAAACGATCGCAAGGAACTGTTTTTGAGACATAATTTGTTTCGTTAGATTTATAGAATTCCGAACATTTTCGTTGAATGTTAGGGCTTCTTCTGGCTTCTTCTCAATCAAAACCTCTTGAAGATCTTGCTCTTCGTCTCTCTTGTTCTTGGATATTTTCCCTCCGAGCTGGCCTCCAAACCACAGGCAAATCAACGATAGAATAGCGGCACCGAAGCAAATTCCTTGAAAGACTTTGAAGTTCTGGAATTAGGAAATTCAAAAAATTAACAAATGCAAAAAAGATTAACAGAAGTACCTTCAAGCTCATGCTGAGTTTTTCAGTGATCGCGATTGAAAACACAGACACCAGAATCGCAATTTGTGAGTATTTCAGAGCTTTCACTCGAACCAATGGTTGATTTTGAGTGGTATCTGCGAACAGCGCACCCCATGCTACACCAATTGCACTGAAAAAGGCGTCGTACAAGAAAAGCGAGAGAATGAGATGAATTCCTTCCCAGTCTGATCCTTCTGTATCCCATGGAATCCACATGAAGACAAATGATCCGACTAGAAATGGAGACAGTGTTTTGATGACTAAAAGTCGATTGTTCAGCCAGGAGCCTCGAACTTCCTGAATTCATTGTTTTTTCTTTTAGTTGTTTGCATTTTTCATCTACACCTGCAAATACCCGAACAGCGGATCATTGATAGTATTCCAGAACATGAACAACGTTTGTGCAATGTTGAACCATTTTGTGTTGACATGAAAGTGATTTATGTACACTTTCACATAATAGAACATGAATAATGTCTGGAATAAAAATTAATTGAAACAGTACTCCGAGCTTTCACACCTGTAGCAAACTCAGTCCAAATTGTGAGAGCCCGATCGATAGTAGTGGTTTCCTCATTTTTGATATTTATTACCCGTTTTGTGTGACTTTTTCAGTATTTCCGGCTTCACTGATGGTTAAAAAAGCCGAGAAATAAAAATTTCCGATTTTTTTGCAATTCTCGCTCCGCTGCACTTTTTTGAAATTTGAATTCGAGTGTCTCGTCGCGACGATGCGCCTTTAACCCAATTTTTCTCTGCGTCTCTTCAGAGATTTTTTCGGCGCACTTTTTTTTCGAATTTTTACCGCTTAAAGTTGACTGAACAGGTTATGTTTTGTCGAAAATGCTCAATTTCACTGTTAAAATTGTTTCGATGATTCTCGCGAATTTTCAATCTTGACCCTTTGTCGATTTTGATCGGGTGTTTCGAAAATAATCGCTTTTCGAGCTACGCCCTTAACTTTAACTGTTTACAAGTGTGCTTTCAGCGTTTACTCTCTATTTCTACAATCATCTTTCGAAAAGAATCCAAAATCGCAAGTTTTCGTTTGTTTTCGCTTGATTGCTGATTTCCTCACAGAAATATTTTTCAGGAACTCGTTTACTCGGCTTCAGGAGATTCTTAGTCGAAGTTGGAACAACATGGCAGCTTCTACTGAACAAGCAGCACAGCAAATGCTGACGGTTCTAGAGAAAACCGTGTCGCAAAGTGAGATTTTTTCATTTAAAATGGATTTTCATGGACTAAATTTCAGACCAGAATGATCAGAAGCAGGCGATGGACTATATCGCAGCAGCATGCCAGCAAGACTTCCCCGTCTTCGTTCAGTGCCTCAGTATGATCCTCCGAACGCAACAGTGCGAGTCGTTCGTCCGTCAGGCCGCCGGTTTGCAACTGAAAAACGTTCTGTGCGCGAAAGAAACTGAAACGAGAACGGGATATCTGCAGAGGTAGTTTTCTTTCAAAACTATTTCCCATTTCATATGTTTTCTTTACAGATGGTTGCAATTGACAACAGAAGTACGAGAACAAGTCAAGCAGAATGTCACTGGAACGCTTGGAACTGAACCATCGAGACCTTCCATTGCCGCCCAATGTGTTGCTGCCATCGCATGCGCTGAGCTCCCACAGAATGTAAGTTTACTAGGGGAAAAAATTTCAACGATAATGATTTCAGTTGTGGCCAAATGTAATTCAGCTTCTGAAGAGCAATGTCACAGAACCGGCAAGCGGCGAGATGTTGAAAGAGTCATCACTGGAAACTCTTGGATACATTTGCCAAGATATCGACCCAAGACACCTGGAGGCAAAGGCCAACGATGTTCTGACAGCAATTATTCACGGAATGCGTCCAGAAGAAGGCTCCGCTAACGTTCGGTTCGCCGCCACAAACGCTTTGCTGAACTCTCTCGAATTCACCAAGACAAACTTTGACAACGAGGTAATACAATTTGAATTGAAGGGAAATTTGTACAAAAACCACATGTTTCGATATTTTCAGGCAGAGAGAAACATCATCATGCAAGTTGTATGCGAATCGACGAACAGCCCTGATCAGCGAGTAAAAGTTGCTTCTCTTCAATGTCTCGTGAGAATCATGCAACTTTACTACGAGCATATGCTACCTTATATGGGAAGTGCTCTGTTCCAAATCACGTTGGGTGCAATGAAATCTCAAGAGCCAGAAGTTGCGATGCAAGGAATGGAATTCTGGTCAACAGTTGCTGAAGAGGAGTTCGACTTGTACATGGCATACGAAGACGACGTTGAACGAGGCGTTGAGAACCCTCAGTGCTCTTCTAGACGGTTCATGGAGCAAGCCGCATCTCATGTGTGCCCTGTCCTGCTCGAAGCAATGGCACATCACGACGATGGTGACGATGAGGATGACTGGACTCCAGCTAAAGCGGCAGGAGTGTGTCTGATGTTGGCTGCACAGTGTGTACGAGATGATATTGTCAACTACGTAATTCCATTCTTCAAACACTTCCAAAATCCCGATTGGAAGTACAAGGAGGCCGCGATCATGGCTTTTGGATCGATTCTCGATGGACCTGACCCGAAAAAACTGCTACCAATGGCCCAGGAAGCTCTTCCAGCTATTGTTGCTGCTATGTGCGATAAGAATGTGAATGTGCGTGATACTGCTGCTTGGGCTCTTGGCAGAGTCATCGATACATGCTCCGAACTTGCCAACAATGCTGAGCTCCTCCAGTCTGTTCTTCCAGCACTTTCAAACGGTCTTCACCAAGAACCAAGAGTAGCTAACAATGTTTGTTGGGTAAGTTTCAATTTGAATCTTTTGAAGTTGGTCAATATGAACTTCTAAATAATGTTTTCCAGGCACTAGTATCTCTTGTCAAGGCTTGCTACGAATCTGCAGTTGCCAATGGAACCGATGGAACTGGCCAACCTGAAACCTTCGCCCTTTCATCAGTTTTTGATCCAATGGTCAATGAGCTCATCAAGATCACAGACAGAGCCGACGGAAACCAATCGAATCTCAGAATCACTGCTTACGAAGCTCTTATGGAGTTGATCAAGCATTCGCCAAAGGATTGCTACTCGGCCGTTCGTAACACAACCGTTGTCATTTTGAAGGTATTTGCATTTTTTAAAAACCTATCCAAAACATTGTCATTTGCAGAAACTCGAGAGTCTATTGCAAATGGAGTCACAAGCTACTAGCGAAGCAGATAAGGCTCAAGTACGAGATCTCCAGGCTATGCTTTGCGCCACTTTGCAATCAGTCACCAGAAAGATGCAACCAGTTGACATTCCTGCTGTCGGAGAGCACATTATGAACGGATTACTTCAAATTATGAACAGAGCTGCCGCCACGAGAAGTAACGCAGTCATGGAGGAGGCTTTGTTGGCAGTTGCTTGTTTGGCAGAGCGTAAGGAACATTCTAAATCTGTTCAATAATCAAAAATCGTGTTTTTTAGATCTTGGCAAAGGATTCATCAACTACATGAATGTCTTGAAGCCATATTTGCTGCAGGGACTCGCCAATGTTGACGAAACACAAGTTTGCGCTGCTGCCGTTGGACTTGTCACTGATCTCAGTCGTGCTCTTGAGGCAGACATTATGCCATACATGGACGAGATGATTGAGAAGTTAATATTCTGCCTTCAGGTACTGTGTGAGAATATGTGGAGCAAAATCTATGTGGAAAATTATTTTTAGGCACCAAAGTTGGACAGAAACGTAAAGGTGGTGATCATTGGAACATTTGCTGATATTGCCATGGCTATTGAGTCCAACTTCGAGCGTTATCTTAACACAGTTGTGCCGATTCTCAACGATGCTCAAAACGCAGCAGTGGTCACCGATCCAGTACGTAATTCAAGAAATTCGTCCCCGTTTTATGGGTTATTGTTACAGAACGACGATGATCAAGTAGACTATGTGGATCGATTGAGAGAAGCGTGCCTCAACTCGTACACTGGAATTTTGCAAGGATTCAAAGCTTCGCCTGATGTAAATTACTACGAGTTGTTGCTTATACTGGGATTTGTCTTTCAGATCGCCGCCACCCGAATGACCGTCAAAGCGTTTGTCGAGCCAATCATTTCGTTGATCGTCAGAGTTTCGTCAATGGAACCCGTGCCACCTTCCGAATCACTCATGGCCACCACCGCTGGCATCATTGGAGATTTGGTTGGAATCTATGAAGGAGAGATAGTTCGATTCTTCACCTCTGAAAATGTAAGTGACTGATTCTTATGAAGTTTTCCATTTTGGAAAAATCGGCAACTACCGAGCCGACCGAAAAAATGTTGGGAAAAAAAATGCTTTTTAGGTCAACAATATGCTGCAAAAGGGAAGAAAATCGAAGGTTGGAAAGACGAAGTCGATGGCGAACTGGGCGACAAAAGAAATCAAGAAGGTAGGTTACAAAAGAGGAAGCTATTCCGGATTTTAGAAAGTCAAGAGATTTCTAAAATTAAATCCGGAATAGCTCCTCGTCAACTTTGAATAGTTTTTACATTAAATAAGGCCATATTTTAGTACACCAGCAGCGGAGCAGCAGGATTCAACTTCAATCGCTAGACGTTCTTCTTGTCTTCTAATCCCCCTCATTATCACTTCTTTCTCATCCATTTCTCACTCTCCCTTGTTCTCTGCCCTGCCCCAATTTTCCTCTTTCATTGGTCCCTCAACTTTCTTACAGGTCTACTGCTCTCTTTGTTCCTTTTTCCACACTCTCTCTCCTCCCAAAACGTCCCCGGTACTGTTGTCTCTGAAAACTTGTTAAAATTGCCCCTCCCCTTATTTCCCTACCCACAAAACTTAAAAATTAGAATCTAATTTCGCTGTCTCTCCAATCCCCGTTCTCGTCATCTCCAACAAAATCTCTTCCTCGTTTCTTTTTTGTCTCCCGTTATCATTTTCCAAAATTTTCCGTTTGTTCTTTTTTTGGCTCCTAGCAACAATTTCGTCGTTTCTCCATCATCATCTATGTGGTTGTTTCTTCTTTTTTTTGCTTTTTTGCTCGATTATTTTTGTCCAAATTTGATTTTGCCTAACACACGAACACATATAGTACCTCTGTCGGTCGTCAAAATACTCCCAAAACACTATCATCATCTTCCTTTTCTATTTATTTATTTTCATCCATCCAATCTACGTTTTACCTGCTAACACCAACCATCATCATCAGAATTTTGTAAATGCATCTCTACCAGAAGCTCATCCATCGTCGTTTAGACTAGTGTTCCTGTCTCCGTCAAACATCGATTTAAGCAGTGATTCGGGAATTCAGAATTCCATAAAAATTACTATATTGAAACAAAAACAGAAAAAAACTAAGAAGATGCTTTTTCAGGTTGTGAAAAAAATTCGATGACAATAAATACATACAAGAATAATGATACAAGGAGGAGTATGTACAAACGAAGTAAAAAATGAAAAGCTCTGAAGAGTCAACTGAGTAATAAGAGGAAAATGTGGTGAAGAATAAAAAAGAAACCGGTTGAGAGGTATTCTTAAAAAAAGAAGTGAAAAATTCAAGAAGTGACGGCTAAGAAATCTCGAAAAATGACAAGTTTGAACGATTATTACTTGGACGTTTGACTAGATCAGGAGGAGAAAAAAAAAGAATTTTAAAAGGGGATGAGGACTATCGATTAAAAGTGGGCAATTTGTCAAATGAGTAGCCAGGACGACCACATAATGTGCACGTTACGTAGTAGACGTGGTAGAATCCTGGGATGAAGCAGACGAGACCGGCGAAGAAGAATACCCAGTGTTGCATGCCAGAGTGTGCTGGAAATCAGGGAAACTTGGGAATTTGAAATTGTTTGATTTAAAAATCTCGTTTTGAATAACATAGGAATTGGAGTTTCTGAGTTTCTAGTTTTGCAAATTTTGTTAGTAGTGGCCTAGAGACGTTAGTTGCATTAGAGTACAAGAGAGAAATTGATTTAACCGTAAAACCTGTAAAAGAAGGGCCCCCACACTGTCAAGTTTGAGCTCCCTTATCCAGTAAACAGGAACCGAGATAAGTTAGCTCAACGTTCGAAGTTAGGGGACCTTCTAGTACAGGTTTTACGGTATTTCGGCTTTAAAAAAACTACTCATAGAAATCGACTAAATGAAAAAATTTCAGCCAAAAATTTTTTTAATTATATATCTAAATGACTAAAAAGAGATTTCCCAAATTTCAAGATATTGAATAAAAAATGTTTTTGTTGATATTCTAAAAATTCGGCTTGAAAGATGTGTTTTTAGAAATCGTCAATGTTTTTGGGAAATTTCGAAAATTTCAAATTATAGAAAAAAAGAGTTTCCAGATGTCTGGAATTTTCAGTATAGAAAATTCGAAACATCAATTTTTTAAATTATGAAAAAGAAAATTCAAGGATCCGAAAAATACTTATATATGGAAACTTCGAAAAAATTCAAAATACCGCAGAACCTGTATTAGAAGGGCCCTCCAAGAGGGGCTTGGAAAAATAGAAGGGCCCCCATCATAATGGCCTGTTTGCAATCGAATTTTTGTGTACGTTTTCAGTGCACAATTTCTCGGAAATTCTACCATTTCGCAGAAAAAATTTTAAAAACTTAATTTAATAAATTTTTTTTTCAAAAATTCGTTCACCTTCTTCTGGATTCATTGCTACCCAGCATCCCCAAGCAAGAAGAATTGCTCCGACAGCCGTCAGAACTATTGAGCCAATTATTACTTTAATGTTGGATCGGAGTTGTGGACTGCATAGACCTCTGAAAACTTATTTTCAGTTTAGATGCTAGAAAATTTATTATTGATATAAAAGTAACTCACGATGATTTGTTATCCTGGGGTCGACTGGGACTAAATGGTGGGCTACTTCCCGGATAAACTCCCCCATTCCCATATGGTGCATCGTCGTTTTCCATTGAAATTGTAGTTCTTCCTTCTACTGGAGTAGCTCTTCCAGCCAGTTTTTCGACGTCTTCTTCGTCGGATTCGGCGCCACGATCGACGATAAGCTGGAAAAAAGGGCTAGAGTACTATAGATCTATCATATTTTCCAATGAATTCTTGATTTGAAAAATTGAAAAAAGAAACCGAAAAAAAAACTGGAAGAAGAACAAAAAACCTAGGTGGATCAGGAGAAAAAAGAAGACAAATGTTGTTTTTTTTCTTTCTTTTCGGGATCCATTTTTTGGAGTTGAATACAAAAGAGTCATTCTCTCTATCTTATTTTTTCTCTCTTTGTGTTTTTTCTTCTTCTAGCAGATTTCGGATTTTCAGACCAGAACACACACAACTTACATGTTGTCCCTGTGACACATTACGCTGGTGTCCTGGCATGCTCGGCATACTGTCTGCAATCAAAATATTTGAACCAAAATGAAACCACGTGGCTATACAGCCAGAGACACAAAAGTTCAGGCAAAGATATGCAACGAATCGAGAATCGATGCAATTGCCAGAGACAGACCCAGAAACATGTTTTGTGAATGTGGGAGACAGAAGAAGGGAAAAAACAGTGGTGATTTTGAATAGAGATAGCATCTTTTGGAGGAATGAGAAGAGACGATATCATGATGAGGCGACGGGCTAACATAGAGATTTCGAACAATTTGGGTGCAGAATTAGATGTAGAAAATAATTAATTAAAGAAAAGGCGATAATTATGAATGGAACAATTAAAAAATTGAAAAAAAAAAACAATCGCATGTCGGGACCCACTTGAACCAAAACCAGTTAACTACTACCACTACGGTACAGAAAAAAAGAAGAAAATCATTATTTTTCCTTCGTTTTTTCTCTAGTTTTTTCTCAAACAAAAATCGAATAATTTTCTAGTTCAGAATAGTGGCACGCGAGAGAATATCGGGGTCGCGAAGTGACTAATCGCGCACCCATTTCCGTCCCCTCTTCAACTATGTCTTTCTCTATGTTTTGGCAAACATTGGTGTTGTGGACGACGACGACGACGGCCCAGTGGCGGTCGTGGGGCGAGAATAAAAGAGAGGAGAGCCGCGACGCGTGACCGCGCCGCCTCCGAACGTCTTCGGAATCCCCGAATTTCCGGGATGAAGCTTATATCTAAGCTTAGAACGCAACTTTCGTGATTTTAGATTTTCGATATATATTTTTTTTTCGTTTTCAGAATTTGTTATTTAGTCAATGTGTTCAGAAAAAAACACCTGTTGTAGTTTGATATTGTGTTCTTGTGTCTCTAGTCTATGACTAATGATATTGTGTCCACTTTTTAGTATCTTATCACTTGGGAAAGAGATAAAAAATAGCCGCCCTTCCGTTGTCGGGGGAGAAAAAAGGATTTATGGAAAGAATCATGTGATAGACATAAAAACGAGCGGTTTTAATGATTCATGGGGTCGTGGGGAGGGTGAATATTTCGAGGAAACAAAACTGCTGGTTTTCTGAGGAACTTGAGTGGGTAGAAAAACATTTTTCTCAGAATATAGAAAAACATTGGTCTATTTTCAGTTTGAATCTGAGTTTGAAAAAAACTGAAGTTCTCTGAAGTGTTACCGTATTTGCTCTACTAGAAGCCAACTCTTTGGATCTCAATTATCTCGCTTCGTTTGAGAGATATTAAAATATTTAAACTGATACATTATTTCGCATAATATCCCCTATTTTTTATCAGTTGTCAGATTTTTGATATCTCTTATGGGAAACAAGATAATTGAGCTCAAAATTGACTAATGTAAAACGTGTAGTAGAAAGTGCTATCTTTTGACTTTGAGTCTGTATATCTCGATTCCTGTAAGAGATATCAAAAATTTTTTAACTGTGAAGTTACTTATCATAATATCACCAATATTTCATCAGTTGACAGACTTATCTTTTATATCTCGCATGGGAATTGAGATAGTTAAGCCCAAGCCTGATGGTTTCGGTGGGCATTTATTAAGGGAAATACGGTATTCAGGAATCGGGATAGTTGGGTTCCAGTGGAGCATTAAAAAAATTAAATGTCACTGCCAAAAGCTCTTCTACTAATCACTTCCTAGTCAGTCCCTACTGCTTCCAATATCTCTTTTCACATTCTTCTTATTCTTGAAAATCCTTCTTGGTCTCCTAAATCTCAGATTTCATCCCTAATCCTCATATCCTGAGAATCCTACATTTACAAATCTCTCTGTTTTTAAGTATCCTCAGGAAATGGAATCTCGTGATAAGATGATATGATCTATTTTGATCTATTTACTCGTCGAGCTATTACAAACAGTCATCTTCTCACAGAGCTCTGGCATAGTTTTGTTTTTTATTTGTGTTCGCACGCCTTCTGAGATCTCTGATTGTGCGGACAAATTTCAGAAATTCATCACTAAGAAACCAGAAAGTCAAGGTTAAAATAACTAGTAGAACTATAGCAATAAAGCACATAGAAAAGTAGAAATACAAATTTTCGAACAAACGAACAGAAACATACACATGAGTAGCAAAATCGTTAAAAACCCGACGTCAGTTTCGTCTCAAAAAATTTATCTCGTGGGGGTTTTGTGCGTGCAGTCAATATATTGAGACTACAGTACTAAACAAACGAAAAGCCGCTGGTGCCTGACTGCCGACAATGCCGAGAGAGCACTCGTCTCGTGTGTTGAATAGAATTAAACTGGGTCGGTGTATGGCAAACTTGTCTATTTTTCCAGTTGTGTGGTGTTCCAAAAGTTCCAATGACACGTCATCCGATTTCGTAATCGTTCCCTCCTATTATGATTCTGTATGAGCAACGCTGCCCCAGGGCTTCATGCTCGACTCGGTCCATTTGCCTTTCGTTTTTTTTGGAGACACTTGTTTTTTGTCTATGTCGCTTTTCGTTTTTTTCTCCTCTTTACTCTTTAGAGACACGAGACTCGCGGTGAGAGAAAAAAGAACAACAAGTCTCCACTTCGTTTAGATATTATCTTTTTTCAATCCATATCCCAATGGACTTTGAACCCCTCGATTTGATTTTTTTTTTGAATCGGCGACCGTTTGACAGAAGGTCTTTCTTATATAATTTATGATGAAAATTTGTTCTTTGCTCCTAGAGTGTCTGGAGCATGTACCTTGTTCTCAGATTTATAGTTATTTTCCTGTGTTTCTTACGGTCCAAAGTTCGTCTGAATTCTTGCAAAATGTCTGAAGAATTATATAAAATCTGATTGTTAAGATAAAATTTTCCAAAAAAAAACAAAAGGTCCGCTCTTTTCTTCAGGCGAACAAAAAAATTTGAAGCTGTAGAAGAGAAACGTCAGTGGCCGTGGCCGAAGGTCCCAAAACGACAACTACCGTAACCTAAACATATATTTATTTTCCGGATTACGATTTTCGTGCGTTTTCAGTTAATTTTCTCAATAACGAAAATCCAACGTAAATCCGTGAAAAGCATGCATAAAATAAAAATATTTTTAGGTTACGGTGGTTATCGTTGTGGGACCTCTTCCACAGCTCCGATTTTTTGTACCAGAATAACATCCGTTGGATAAAATATGGTATACGGTAGCTAGATTTTTATATTTAAATATGTTCGATTTCTTCTGTAATTCCAATGAGAAAAGTTTCCAATTCACAAAACTTTCGCAATTTTTCAAAATCTGGTGCATCTCACAAGTCAATGTGACACCTGTGGCGAAAGCTCCAACACATTTGGAATCTTTTTTGAATTGGATGATCATAACGCATATATTTCGTTTCACTGGTTTATATCCATAAAAGCTGTGCCTACGTGACTGCTTATTCGATTCGAATAAAAGCACAAATCATTAGCACTAGTTCAATATGATACCCTTTGTGCTATCAGTTTTTGTTTGTTTGTCCTTTCTCTTGGCGCTCCTCACCGACCCCATCGATTCGATAATTTTTTTTTCGAAAATTCATAAAACACTGCCGGCCGCAACTTCTCTTCTTCCCCTTTTCTCTGTTCCGTCCATCCAACACATGTGACCTTTTCTCTTCTTCTTCTTCTTTCCCCTATGCTTACCTTTGGCACCACACCACATCACACCAATAATAAATATGTGTGGTTTTTGTCCCCAATCATCCCAAGGGCGCTGCTCCCACAGTGAGAGAAAGAGAGTCTGTGTTTGCTGAGCCGATGGTATTGTGCGCGTCCACGTCCGGCTTTCTTATTCTTCTTCTTATTCTCCATTCCACAAACAATCATCTCTTTCCCTAAAAATCCCACCAGAGACACAGATAGTTTTTTTTTCTATTTTTGTGCTTCTTCCCACGCGCTAATCAAAAAGTGCCCCCTGAGTACCTTGAGAAAAAAGTAATCAAAATGTAAATTTTGGGTCTTTTTCTTCTTTTTTCTTCCCCATTTGTCTTTTTCCAATAGGCGTGGGAAGAAGAAAGAAGACGACACTCTCAAATCGAAACGTAGCCCCTAGTTTGATAAATGACAGGGCTCGTTGGAGCACATCGTCTTCTTCTTCTTCTTCTTCTTTCCGCCTTTTTACATACTTGTAATCCGGGCCTTTGCCGTGCCTTCGCGGGCCCTGCCATAACTTCTTTCAGAATCAATATTTTCAGAATCAATATTTTTCCTGCGAGAAAAGCCATTTTATAATCTGTAACTTTGTTCATAGGTAAGATACAGTATTCCAAATAATACCGTTTTGTAGTACTCGTGAAGCTCTATCATATCTGATTTAGTTGGTTCGAAAATATTGATTCTGAAAGAAGTTATGGCAGGGCCCGCGAAGGCCCGGCAAAGGCCCGGATTACAAGTATGCCTTTTTGCATTTGTCCCCGCCTACTTTTCTCTTGACGTCTTCTTTGCCGCCGCCGCCTCATTTCGACTCGAAAAGAAACCCTAGCAACAAAAAAGAAGGGCGATTTTTTGACTAAAATTCATTTTAGTACTATTTCCGTTTCGGTAGTGACCGGCGGTGGCGGTGAGAGCGAGAGAAAGAGAAAATGAAAAATTTCAATTTTGGTTCGCCGTCGCCTTTTTTGTATTCGGGTCGTTTCTCTCTTCTCCCGATTTTTACATTTTCCTCCTCCGCGCCACTGCTTCTTTTTCGTTTTGCTATACACAGCACCTGTTCTTCTCCAGAGTATGTTGTTCGTATTCAGTTGGCTTGTTGGTTTTTTTTCCGAATGTCTTAAAAATGCGCTCAAATGCGAATGACCGTAATAATACAGTGAAAATAGCTTTGGTTTCGACGCAGAAGCTTTAAATGGAAATGATGAGTCGCTACTCAGCGATACCTGCATTCCATAAGTAAGAAAAACAATTTTAAAGACGTTCCTGAAAAAAAACCGTAGGCGGTTACGGTAGTTTTTTGTTCAGGTGTTTAAAAGAAGAATATGTTCAAAAGCACATGTTTTCTAGAACACTCAATTCTCTTTCCCAAATAACAAACCAAAATTCTATCCTTCTAATCATATATCTCTTGAGCTCTCAGAATCCCTACAAAGCTATAATTCTATAAAGCCGTGGGCGCGCCACGCATTCTGATCAATGGTGACGAAGACGCAGCGTGATGTCTCTGAATCTACAATAACAAGCCAACACCTCATTATTTCTTATTCACCTTTGCTCCTTCTTCTTCTTCTTCTTGCTCGCACTCAAAAATTCGCATCGAATTTCACATCCATATGACTCATTTATAATTGTGGCGGCTCCAAAGCAATTAATAATCGGGGCAAGAGGGACCAACTTAGGCAAGAGGGACCAACACATGCGAAACCAAACAATGCTCTTCCTGGAGAGCACAACCTTCTTTCTGGTCTTATTTGCCCGCCAACAAAAAGCCCTTTTCAAGTGTGACGTGAATGTCTCTCTCTCCTTCAGGAAAACGGAAAGCAGTGGGAATGGAATGGCGGAAGGAAAGGGAACGCAGTGAAGCATGAAACGTCACATCACATCCCATAGAAACGGCCAAAAGTGTGTCACAGATGGCTCGTTGTATCTATATGATTATACATATGACACTGTGGCGTCATATCCAATTCGAATCGATTTCGAAACACACGCTCTCTGTCTCTATACCTTTTCGGGGGGAATAATCTCTCTGCTTTCCCTCCTCTCTCTCTCTCTCTATTCACACCTCTCCTCCTCGTGCTAACACTCACTTATCACTTTTCCGACGAGAAGAGAAATTTGGGTTTTGATTTGATTTCGAACTTTCTCGACGCGCTGTGTGTCTCGATTCGCAACAACAGTGTCCACCACAGCCAACGACCTTCCAATTTCAATCGTCGACGCTTATAAGCGCGCTTATTTTTCGTTTTACACTTTGAATCCTGCTTCTGATGCCACTTCTCATTGTACCAAGAAGAAGTTACAGCAGCAGCAGTTACCCATAGAACTTTCGTCTCGTCGTTCTCATTCCATTCGCCATCATTTGTCAAATAAAACACAACAACTTATAGAATCGATCCATTTTTTTGTATGTGATGCGGTTCTTTGTGTCTCACACAGGTGTATCTGACCCTTTTGCAAATTTGATAATTTGTTTTCTCTCTTCTGGAGGTTCTCAATTATTATTCTGGTACGAAAAAACGGAGCCGAAGGTCCCACAGCGACAACTACTGTAACCTAGAACTATTTTTATTTTCTGAATTTATTTTCTCGATTTTTGTGCGTATTCGGTCATTTTTCTCACAATCAAAACATTTTATTTTCCGTCTTTTTGTCGAAAAATAACAGAAAACTAGAAAAAAAATCCGGAAAATAAAAAAATTTTTAGGTTACCGCAAGGATCGGCCCCGGCCACCGGTGTTTCTCTTCCACATTTCTTGAGTTTTCTAATTTTCTAATTTTATTTTGTACTCTTTGACTCAAAATCGTCTTTTCTCCCATCTTATATCTAAATAAACTCTCTTTTTTCATTTCAGATGCTAAAATCAGCCGTATTTTCGTCGGCGCGCTATGAGAGCCCGGAGGAAGCGCGCGGAAAGTTCCGTGTCGACGCCATATGGGACTGCAACGCCCCGAAGTATCGCGTCGCGTGCGGACAACTTCATGTCACCAAGGTACGTCTTCTACTTCTGAAGTTGGAAGGTATTGATTGACGTCAAAACGTGTGGGGGAAAAATTGGCTGGAGTTCTTATAAATATTCATGAAAATGGATTGGGTGTCAGCGAAGAAACGTTGTTTGCGCTTGTGTAACTTGAAACAAAAAGAACTGGGCACGCTCTCCCAGAGAACATTTCCGAACTGCAAATTAATTTTTGATCTACAGAAAAAAAGTTTGGCGCGATCACAATTGCAGGTCTAAAACCGGGGGTACGCACTGGGGTTCAAGCGAGGGGATCAGAAAGCGCGCCCCAGCAAACTCGTAGGCCAGAAGAAATTTAATAATTTTAAATTGGACGCGGGTTTGATCTAGATCATGATCTATTTCTTCAAAATCAACTGGTTGCAAGGCGCGCTTTTTCGCTCTTCATTTAAAACTGTGAAACTCAGCCAACGAAATTCGGCAGCGAATTTAGAATTTTTCCTAAATTTACTGGGGCGCTCTTTCTGACCCCCTCGCTTGGAAACCCAAGTGGGTACGACGAATTCAAACGTTTTCAAATTCGAACAGACCTAAAATCGAACTGATTCAATTCAAAACAGTCCTTTTTTCGCACACGTACCAGAACAGAACGCGGACAGAATCGAACTGTTACAAGTTCGAACTGGTAAGGAGTCGAACTGTCCCAAATTTGGAACAGCAAAAATGCGATTTTGTGCAATTTCATGAGGTTTTTGAATTATAAAAAAAGTTTTATCAGACGAATTAAAAATTCATCTATAGAAAATGTAGAGAAAATAATTGCGGGTTTTTTGAGCTATAGAACTCCTAGGAATGTCAAAAACTGAAAAAGGAGATAGATTTTTTCTGTACAAAACTTTCAAAAATGACCATTTTTGACATTTTTTCTTCGGAAAAGGACCATACATGAATCTATAACCACTAATTAATTTTTTAAGAATCATTTAAATCATCTTGGAACTCCACAAAATCAGATAAAAATTCTGAAATTATGATTTTAAACCTGCAATTGTGATCGCGCCTTTTTTCTGTAGATCAAAAATTAATTTGCAGTTCGGAAATGTTCTGTGGGAGAGCGTGCTGGGTTCAGTTATATATGAACTTGATAATAGGGGCTAAAGGGAAATGTTGTTTGATCTAGAAAAACCCCGTGGAAAAAAGGATTCTAGTCATTGAAGCGATTTTTTCAGAACGTCATTTAAATGCGCTGAAAAATTATTTTAAAAAAAAACGTTCCGGAGAAAAAACACCGTATTTTTTTTTCCAGGCCACCAAATACATTGGAATGACCCAACTGTTCGTCATCGCTCTCTTCTCGATCTCCCTTCTCTTCGCCTACACATCCGCACTTCGACTGGAAGACACGACAGAAGGAACCAAGGAATGGTCGATCAACTATTACATGGCCCGTTACGTATCCTCACTTCTCTCGGCTCTCACTCTTCAACTCGGCCTTGTACTCATGATGCTTCACGGAATCCGCACCAACCGTCGCTCACTTCTCGTCCCATACATTGCATTTGCAGCAATTGCCTTGTTCTTGGCCATCTTCCAAATCTCACTCGACATCATTAACTTTGTCGACACCAAGTCCTATCGGAATTTGAGCAGCGAGAATCCGGCCTCGGCCATTCTTGTTCACTTCACCGGAGTCTTGGTTCATGTCTGGTGCATGAAGGTTGTCTGCAAGTGCTACTCGTTCTACGGAGATAAGAATGTGAGTTTCTGTATGGGTTACGGTAGCTATGGCTACGGCAGAATTCCTTCATTTTTAACTATAATAAACCTGAAATTTTCCAGGTCGCCGAAGCCATCGGACAGCAACTTCAATCCACATCCGTCGCCTTCGCTGTCGATTTCACCCGTCCACCACCATACTCTCGTCTCCCAACTGATGTTCAGCCACTCACCCAGGCCTAAGATATTCATTTTTCTTTGAATCCCTTTGTCATATATCTCTTTTCGGATATAATCCATGACTAGAAATTCCCCACCAATCCCCTTTTCTCTCCATCCCAAAAAACCCAAATTTTGACGAGTTATTTTTTTGAAATGTAGAAAATACCATAAACTAAACAAGAATTAGATGCCACCCAGTTTTTTTGTCTTCTGTATCCCATTCTGCTACCATGTTGTTGCCCCGTTCTCTCTCCCAAATCGAAACTTGTCAAAAACCCCAACCACATTGTATATTTTTTTGTATTCTTTTCCAACTGAATAATTTAAGATAAGATTTCGTGCATCGGGTGATTTGTATCATTCGAACCCCACCACTCCTTCCAAATTGCTCTTCGTTGAGCAAATCCTATTATTTTTATAAATCCCAATCCCAGTTAATAAATTTCGAGTGAAAAAAAATTTTTTAAAGTTGTGAAAAACGGACATAAAAAGAAAATGGTGAAGTGCGGAGAGCGGCGGCATGAAAGTAACATTATTCGAAATTTTCAGATTATCAAAACCTCGAACCGATGATCAAATTTCAAAAATATACAGCCCTTTCGCCAATAATTGGCGGTCAATTTTTGTTTTAAGAAAAGCAAAACAACGTTTTAACATAATATTTTATTTTCTCTCTTTTTTATTCAGCAGCGACAAGGGGAAGAAAAAGAACAGCGAAGATTTGATTTTTACAAAAGTCGAACTTCCAAAATGCGACTTGGCTCCAATTGGGAAACGAACATGACATCGTCAGCAGCAACAGCCAACGCGTGTGCCTCGCGAAGTCCCTTGGCGAACGTTTCGGTTTTTCCAGTGCTCATATCAATGGAGAACATTTGAGCCTCGACGTCATCACTAGTACCCGTCACACCAATCAGATAATGTTCACGCTCTCGGATGGCGAAGACACGTCCGATGTCGGTGGCTGAGGTGATTGGAATTCCAGTTGGAAGCGTACGATCACCCTCAGAAAGACCCGCCGAGAAACATTGCACACGTTGGTTTTCTCTAGAAATTTAGAGGATTAGAATATTAGAATCGTGGAGTCTTAGAAGCTTAGAATCTTAGAATCTTAGAATCTTAGAATCTTAGAATCTTAGAATCTTAGAATCTTAGAATCTTAGAATCTTAGAATCTTAGAATCTTAGAATCTTAGAATCTTAGAATCTTAGAATCTTAGAATCTTAGAATCTTAGAATCTTAGAATCTTAGAATCTTAGAATCTTAGAATCTTAGAATCTTAGAATCTTAGAATCTTCGGATCTTCGGATCTTCGGATCTTCGGATCTTGAAATCTTAAATACTCAAAATCTAAAAATCCTAACATTCAGAATGTGGATTTCATAGGAATCCTTAAGATTAGTTTGTCGTATAATCTGAAGTTCCTAGAAAAGACACTTCCGCGTCACTGCCGTAATCCCTGACACTAACCTGTCAGCAACACAGACGATGTTCATATCCTCGATGAGAGATAGAGAGTGTGGAATGGCGAATTCCGATGGTTGGCCGTCTTCTGGAAAATTGGATTTTAGACGTTTTCGATCACGATGCACTCTGATCGGATTATGTGGAATGAAGTGTGTCGATTTCTAGTGATGTTTGATTTTTTCGAATAGAGGAAATGCGCTGTAATGAAATAAGTAGATCAGAATGACCAAACCAACCTTGAGCAGCATTAATCTGAGCCATGAGATTTCCCTTCGAGTCGAACTTCAGAATTCGACTGTTACAGTAACCATCGGCCACGAAAATGTGTCCATTCTTAGCAACTGCCACATCAGTTGGCTTGCAGAAATGCTTATCATCCTCTCCAGGAACCAACTTCTCTCCCAAACTCATCACAATCTTTTGTGTCTTTGCATCAATCTTATGAACCTGATGAGATCCAACATCAGTCACCCAATAATCTCCATTTGAATCAATTGTCAATCCATGTGGCATATAGAAGAGTCCCTCTCCAAACTCATCTACAGTCTTTTGATCCCGATCAACAATTGCGATGGTTTTGTTGTTGATTGGTCCCAAATCTTTGTTGAATGTCTCGTCTGAGTTGAAGCTCTTTTCATCCCAAACACGTCCGGAACGATGGAATGCGACGATGTGTCCATTCGAGTTGATTGCTAATCCACTGACTTGTCCGATTGGTTTTGATGGGGCGAATAGGCCAATCTGAAAAAGAATTTTGAATTTCTAAGCAGGTTTATGGGATTTCAGATTAATCATGCAAGTAGGATCTCGGGATCGGAATAAGAACGAATCCATGATTTAGTTTTTATTCAAAATCAAGATGATTTCAGATTCTAAGATTTCTCGAAAAGTCTAAAATTCGGAGTTTCCGGATACTGAGGTTCCGAAGTGTCAAACTTTATTATTCCGGTACAAAAAACTCGAAGCTGTGGAACAGAAAAGCCGGTAGCCGTACAATTTCCCAAAAAGACAACTACGGTAACCTAGAAATATTTTTATTTTCATGATTTTTTTTCGTGTTTACTGATTTTCGTCGAGTTTTCTGTTATCAGGGAAACAGTTCACTGAAAACGCAAGAAAATCGAGAAAAACGAATCAAGAAAATAAAAAAATTTAGGTTAATGTAGTTTTCGTTGTGGGACCTTCGGCCACGACCTCTTCCACAGCTCCGATTTTCATACAAGCCTAATAGTTGCAAATACTTCTTAACCGATGACGTTTTTCGAAAACTAGCACTACATCAACTAGCGGGAAGTGCACTTTTTTAATTTCCGCCTTTTTTTCGCTTTTTTTTCAAACCAATTTCCTTCCGGAGACAGAAGCCAAACTTGTTTTTTTCTCTCACAAAAAAGATAGACTCTGTGAATGTTCCTTTGGCAAACACTTTTTCCACTAATGAGAAGCCTTTTCTCTACTCGCACGTTTTCTGGTTACACTGATCCCTCAACAAAATGACACCTTCTGATTATGAGAGAACAAAGAAGAGCTCAACTTGATGACGATCATGTGGGGATGAGCAGAAAGAAGAAGTAGAAGAAAACGAGTCATTATTATACTGATCCCACTCCCACACACCAGTTTTTTTTCCATTATTTTTTGTTGGTTCAAAATTTCTCTTTAGTTTGGTCTCCGAAATACACAGCCTCTTATATACAAAGTCACCAAAGTAATGCAGGCTATCGATAGCGCAGTGGTTACGCTTTTGCCCACCCCTCACGAGATCCGGGATTCGAAAAAACCTCTCCAAAAAAGGAAGGATGGACCTCGTACAAAAACAAATATTCTTGAGAGAAATGAATGAAGGGAGAGAGAAGAGATGACGTCATCTACTAGAAAGGAAATGCCTGGAGCGAATCGGGAAATTTCAGAGAATTTATTCAAGAGAATACATATGAATATTCCCGAACGGTCTAGGATGTCTGAACCTCCAGAAGCGTCCCCATTTAGAATTCAGGATTCTCGGAAAAAGTTTTTCGAAAAAGGTTGAGGGAGCACAAAGATGGTGGGAATACCAAACGAGAAGACTCCATTAATCATTCATTTTGACGTCTTCAGCTCAGACTACAGTATTATTGCATAGACTACAAAAGTGTGCGCTAATGATAACCTAGCATGCCCCAAAAGAGACAAGCGTCACTGATAAAGTATATCATTACGTGGCTAATTACAGAGATCGCAGAACACATTCGCTCTAATGACATCGTATTACAGTAGAGCACACTTGCACCTGCCGATCACCGCCTCCACAAGTTCTCAGAGAACACTCGTGACTTTTTGCATGAAACTTTTTTGCGCAGTTTTCCCCGGAAATGTAAATATCCGCAGCAATGAGAACTTTCTGAGATCTTCATGGTTGTAGTTTGTAGTTTGAGATGAAATTGCATAAACAATGGATAATGAGAAAAGGAAGATTAAGAAGCATGAGCCGACCAATTTTACGAGCGTTTTGCAAAAAAAAAGTTTGAAGGATCACTTTTGTCTTTTTTTTTGGCACACACCGTAAACACTTTGAGTTCAATTATCTCAATTTCTATAAAATATATCAAGAATATGTTAACTGATAACATTTTTCATTTCACAGATTTTTGGCATCTTGTATAGGTATCGAGATAATTGTGCTCAAAGTGAAGGTATGTGGTGGGCTTTCTTTTAGAGCAAACACGGTGTACTTTTTCGGAGTCTAAAATTCTCGGTTCCTGTGGAAGATATCAAAAAAGGATCAACTAATAAAATGTTTATTATCATATCAAAAATATTTTGTTAGTTGACCACCTTTTGATATCTTTCATAGGAACCGAGAAAAATTGGCTCACAGTTGCCCGACCCGATCAGCGCCTTCGACGCGTGACTCACCGATTCCTTCTGCTGCTGATCGAAATCCAAACGATTCTCCTCTACCTCGTCGATATTTGGCTCCTGCTGTTGTTGTTGTTGATCCTCTCCATAGAAATAATCAACAGGCAACGCGGAAATGAAGATGGGCGCCACGAGAAGCGCCACGAGGCAAGCGGCCGACGACGCAGCCCGCATCCTCCCTAGAATGAGTGGAGACGACGTCTTCTGAACTCACGTCGTCTTCTTCTTCTCTAGAATCGATAGAGCAGAGACGTCGACGGTTAGACGAAAGAGCAAAAAAGAGAAGAAGGGGGTGGGCGGAGCCTATTTGAGAAGGCTCACGAGACTTGAGAGGAGGGCAATGGAGGGTGAAAGAAGAGAGAGAGAGAGAGTATCGAATAATTTTTTTCAGCTTTTGCGTTTTTTTTTGGGAGGAAATATTATGGGGAAGAGAGAGAACACTCATATTTCCAGAGAAGGAAAAGTGATCAGTGGGATAATAATGAGAAGATAGAAAAAAAAAAGAGAAAACAGAAGAAGTAGAAGAAGAAAAAGAAGGAAGTAGAAGAAGAAGAAGAAGAAGAGGAACGGCTCTAGAATTCAAGATGAGATCATGTTCTAGGAAAAGTATGTGTCATACCGACAAGAGGTTTTTTGTGAGTGTGTCTGGGAAAAAGTGTCTGGAACAGAAGTATATAAAATGGATGATTCAGATGAGGGATTTGGGTAAAGAGTAGGGGAAAACAGAGAACATTAGAATCTCAGAATTTCGGAACTTCAGAATTTCAGAATTTCAGAATTTCAGAATTTCAGAATTTCAGAATTTCAGAATTTCAGAACTTCAGAATTTCAGAATTTCAGAATTTCAGAATTTCAGAATTTCAGAATTTCAGAATTTCAGAGTTTCAGAATCTCAGAATTTTATAATTTAAATATTTTCGAATTTTCGAATTATACGACTTCAAACATTTGCATTGTGATCTTATTTAAAAATTCCAATTTCTCCATTTTCCTTTTTTCAGACGCTCAAAAAATCAAAACCCCGCCGGAAACATATCATTCCATAAATCACAAATTCCATAATCTCTCCCTAATCTTTTTTCTGTAACTCTGTTTGCTTTATTCAGTTATTTTTCCTTCATAACATTATAATCTCATTTTGGCTCGAGGCAAGAATTCACTTTTTTCTTTTCAATAGAAGATGAAATCACTGTTCAAAGGTTATCCAATTTTCCATAGAAGGTTCGAGCTAAGAGAATATTCTAGAAGAGAGAGAAAACGGGGAAAAAGGGATCCCATTGTTCAGATCAAAAACGGAAACGTTGGTTTTCGGTTTTGAAGAACGAGAAAAAAGGAGAAGAAGTACTGAAGAACATTCACTCAAGACGATGAATGGAAGAGAAGGACAAAGGGACCTCTATGACTTAACAATTTAGAAATATGGAAAAGATTTCTCGCAAACTCCGGAAGTCTAAATTTCGGGAAATCTAAATTTTTTTATAATACCTTTCTTTTAAAACGTTTCAAATAAAAAAAATTCTGAAGTTTGTGAAGTTCGGTTTCAAAAATTTCTATTTCAGGAACAGAGCAGGTGTGAATATTTTATAAAGTGGATTTGTTTAAAAGAACTAATTGAGAATATGAAATTTTGAAGTGGTGAATTTTGAAGGATAATCTAGAGCTGAAAATAGAATCTCAAATTTTCCGTATTTCTAAATTTGGAAAATATAGGTACCAGTAGTTTTGTATACTGGGGTCCCTTAAAAAAGAACGCACATGGAGCAATTCAGAAAGCTATCTTGAAATTTGGAAAATCCCAGAAATGATCTAATTATAATGCTGATACAAAGAATCGAAGCTGTGGAAGAGAAAAGCCGGTGGCTGTGGCCCAAGATGCCACAACGGCCACTATCGTAACCTAAAAAGAAATCATTTTCCGGATTGATTTTCCTTTTTCACACCTTTTCGTCAAGTTTTTCTACAGAAAGAACAATACGACATATTACAAAAAAAGATCAAAATAGAGATTGGAAGAAACCAAGAGTGAGAGAACGTCTAGAACGAAATCTCAAAAACGCACTTATGTCGAAAAATTCAAAAATGTGTTGAAATGAATGTTTAGCGGAAAAGGCTGCCTGAAATTTCAGATAACTGTAAAAACAAATTCCGACATTTAATTTTTCGAAATTTTAGATCTGTGCGATTGTTCCAATACTGCTCCGATCTTGTAGTTGGATTTATTCGAATTTTTGGATTTTCTGTATTCGGATTCTACAGACTCCTCCGCACACACCTGGTCCGACTATAGGATTCGGACCATTATGATCGATTAGATGGACGACCGCCTCACTTTTTGGTCTCAATCAATAGAACCATTGTTCTGCACCTATCCCTATTCAGTTAATTTCGATTTAAATGTTTTATTTTTCTGAAAAACCTTCGCATAATTGATGACTGTTTTTTTTTGCAATCGTTGACTATGTTTGTTTCCAGAATGCCGATTGGTCTTCTGAAACTTCCCTCTGTGATTCGAGACGAAGTTTTCAGAAACTCAAAATGTTCACACCTTTTCCAATTGTCACTTTGCTCACTTCGAGTCATAAAATGCATTGAAAGAGTTAAATTGCAGCAGCATATATAAGCACATGAATGAACTAGAAGACGTGAAAATTGGAGATGATTATCATATGTCTACCAGGTCAGTCTACTATCTTGTTTGCTATTCTGTTTGCTATTCCGGCAACTCCGATAAAAATTTTTATTGCACCAAAATGTTCGAAAAGGTGGATGTTTTTCTGAAAGCTTCTTTCAGATTTCATTCATGGACCGGAACGAATAAAATACCACACATGATTATGGTTGTAAAAGAAATAAATGGAGGAATTCAGAGTGAATTATAAAAGCATGGCACATCTCTATTTGGTTACTGTGGCTCAAATAAGTTAAAGATGGATATAGACGAACTTTCGAATAATTTACTAAATATCGTCAATGCGAAAGACAGTATTTTGGAAGGATCGAAAGTCGAAATGAGTGTCGTCGATACCTTTTTCAAACTGTTCCCAAATCATCGAAGTGCTCACATTGAAGCCGCTATAAATAGAGAGCTCCCTGAAAACTCGGGAATTTTCGACATCGCAAACATCAGCCTTAGCAATCAATCTTCTTATTATTTTCAACGATTTCGTGGCCGTAATTTGTTTTACTGCGAAGCGAAAATGGATACATCAGATATCATTGACTTCTTGAATAAGTTGGTTCACAACATTGCTTATCATGATTTAGAGACACTCACCGTGCGTTTCAAAAGAAGTATTTTCATATCAAAAGGATTAGTACTTGAAGCATTCGAAACGAAACAATATGATTCATTGAATTCATCAGATTGGCCTGAAAGTTTTTCATGAGACCCGAAGTTAGTTTTTTTTTAATGAGCGGAAAAAAACTTGTTTTCTTCCAGAATCATCGGCTACTGTCCCAAACAAATTCCTCTTCGTAACACAATGTTCTACGAAATCAAACGGAAAATCGATGAAAGGAAAGGATACATAAACTTCGAAAATGACGACTTTGAGTTGTTTATTCCAAGTACTACAGAATGAACTAATACAAGACAAACTCTCATGTAATCTTATTGATAAGTCTCTCTCCACATATTGATTATACCTAACACCCTCAATCTAAATTTTTCTTGTTTAATACACCGCTATTCCTTGCCTTTTCTTTTAAAACACTCCTATCCTCGATTTCCAGATGACACCCCTATTCATCACCAAGTTTGAGGCTTTTCTTCAGTCGAAAAGCATCATACAATACCAGTTTTCCAAACTCCTGAAACAGAAAAACAGAAAAGAATTTATTTACAAAAATATTTGGTACGCATACAAAACTAATGAATACAACACAAGCGGACGGTCTAACCGCAAAACTGATACGGAATTTAATATCTAGCGTATTGTTTCCGTTTTATTTTACGTTGTCTCTTTAAAAAAGTTTTGTTCCATTTCCGTCTTCCTTTCCTAGAAGCAAAATTGTTATTATTTCCCCATGCCTACGATATTTCACAAGTGGTTTGAAACGGATCGGTTTCAATAGTATTCTTCCCTAGACTGAAGTACAACTTTCGGACCGATCTTCGTCTTCCGATTCTAAATTTTTGGTTTCAAACGTCCCGGTCCAGTGTTTGATGGTAGGAGGAAGAGGAGATCCTTCAGCGTACTATATGCGCGCAAACGGTGTACCTATGTCGTCCATATGAGGCGCCGCGCCAACGCATATACCTCCCCCCTTTCAAAATATCGCAGACAATGTGGAAGTCGATAAGATGACAGTAGTTCAATGGTTGCTTTTTCCTTTGCTTTTTCCTCAGACTTGGATCCCATAAATTATTCAGTCTTAGGTTATTGGGCCCAGACAGGTTCTTCTTTAAAATACAAATTGTCGCATTTCTGTTGAAACCCCTTCAGAAGACATGGGCACAAACAGATGAAAACTAACATCGTACCGTCGTTGTCCTTACAACAGCATCTGAAGGCTGTTGTCAGAGTAAAAGGATGCTATGGTCCTTGAGCCATTTCAGGTTCACTTTGACCTCACTTTGGCTTTCCATTTTCACATGCTCCAAAACGAAGAGAATTAAGGGTTTGTCGGTTTCACTGTCAGTCGAGTATTTTCAAACAGCCAGATCATCCGGATCTCGGAAAATGCGGATGGCGCCTGTGGTAACTGAAAAACGTGACCTAAATCGCACCATCCAATTGGAGTGGTGAGCAGGGGAACCCAGTTCTCGGGTGTCCAGCGTGTTATTCAGATCTGTACATCTCCAAAAACATTTGGGGATCCTTGGTGAGCAAGATGTACGATGGAAACAAAAGTTATGACATCGTACCGGAGCTTAATCAGGTCATAATTGATGCCTGGCTGCTGGTGGAGCAGAAACTGCCGGAAAACCGTCTGAATGTCTATGCATTCTCAAGTTTTTGATGTGATAAACAGTAATGGTCGCCCCATTAACTTTTGGACCAGATACAACTTTTTCTGAACTTTTTCTGAACTTTTCCTTGTTTTTTTTCGAAAATTTCACTACCTGGCGTATCATTTTGTGGATAATTTTTTCTCGATTTGTCGATTGAATTGACATTTGTTTTTTTCCGGAATTTTTCCGGAATTTTCATATAATATTGTAAAATTGACGGAGACCATACGTATTTTTCTAGAAAAGTCAAAATTTGGGTCGTGGCCGGTTTTCGAGTTTTTCGAAATTTTGAGGGATGGCGTATCATTATGTGGAGCACTGTATATATCATAATATGAAATATAATCAACCGTTTTGTGTTATCTTCTGCAAGAACCGAGACAAATTAATTCAAAGTTGAAAGTTCGGGAAGTTATTCTATTAGAGTGTTTACAGTAATTCGATCACGAATTTCAAATGCATATTCTTGTAATTTGCCCAAATCTTTTTGTAGAAAAGGTTCAATTCCAGGTTTTGGAAGGATTTTAACAAGGAAACCCATTTTTTAATCCTATGAAGAATTTTTGAATTCAGAAGTTTCTGATTTTCCTGAAAATGATATACTCCAGATCTCTCAACTTTCCATAGTTGCTCATTGCCTTCACCCCAATTCGAATTCATAATAATTGTTTCTCTTCTCCTACAATTCTTCCTCTTCTTTTTATTTTCCCCAACTTCTCCTCAATATCTAATCCACGTTTGCGTCTCTTCTGGCTCCCGCACTCTCTCGCTTTCCGTCGAAAATTTCGTTGGTCCCCAGCGGAACATTGAGAAGAAGAAGAAGAAAGAGTACTCTTTTCTTTTCTCTTATCGATCCCTGTTTTACACACTTTTTCCCTTCTTCTTCTTTTTATTTAAAGGAGGATGCGTCGCCTCTTCTTATTCCTATTACCCTTTTCATGTTCAATTATTCAATTTGGAGATGGAAATGAGGATGCGAAACGGCTTTATGATGATCTTATGGTTAATTATAATAGGCATAGAAGGTGAGAAAAAGAGAAAAAAGATATTGGTCGAGGTGGGAATTGAACCCTCGTTGTGAGAATGGTATTCATCTGTGTTATCCAAAAGGACAGAAAAGAGTAGTTATGGTGCCCGCTTTTATGTATACCGTGTCAGCTTGCGCCCCCGTAGCTCAGCTGTTAGCAGCGCGGCACCTCAGCGGTGGTCCCTCAAGTTCAACTCCTCCTGTAGAATTTTCAAGAAAATTTTTTTATGTTCCCCAACCTTTAAAAAACATTTCAGACCCTCAACGTCTCCAAACAAGCCACTGACGATCAAGCTGAAACTCCGCCTCAGTCAAATCATCGATGTGGTAAGATCTTTAGAATCGTAAAATCTTTTTTCCAATTTCTGTGTATTTTCAGCACGAAATCGATCAAATCATGACGTGTTCAGTTTGGCTGAAACAGACATGGTTCGATAGGAAACTGTCATGGGATCCGGTGAACTATGGAGGTGTAAATGTGCTCTATGTACCGTATGAAATGATTTGGGTGCCCGATATTGTGCTTTATAATAAGTGAGTTTTGATTTTCATGAATTCAGAGTATTTTGAGATGTTTTCAGCGCTGACAGTAACTATAACATCACAATTTCGACAAAAGCTACACTTCACTATACTGGAGAAGTCACTTGGGAACCGCCTGCAATTTTTAAGAGTATGTGTCAAATTGATGTCAGATGGTTCCCATTTGATGAGCAGCAGTGTCATTTGAAAGTGAGTTAATTTGATATGAAGCCGTGAAAAATGAGAATCAAATAAGAATGCCCCTCACTTATAACTTTGAGCTTAATGTTCTCGATTCCTATAATAGATTTCAAAAACTTGTTAACTGATAAATTGTTTATCATAATGCCAGAAATGTTTCATAAGTTTTTCAATTTTTGATATCTTTCACAGGAATCGAGATAATTGAGCTCAAAAAAACGTTTAAGGTAGGCTTCTGCTATTTGAGAAGTTATCAAAACATCAGGCTTTAAAAATCTATCGAAATGGCTTTGAAAATCATTCAAAATTTGCCCGAAAATCTCTGAAAACTCATAAAAGTTTGCTCGAAAATCCCTCAAAAAATTTTTCGTTTCACCTCAAAATTCAAAATTCATAAAAATTATAAAAATTTACTCAAAAATCATACTAATTTGAGTTTAAACTGATCGAAATTGATTTCAAAAGTCCAAAAAATTTTAGTTGAAAACTATAAAAATGAACCCTAAGTAAGATCCATAACATTTTAGTTAAATACCTTTGAAATTGACAAAAAATTGTAAAAACTGTCCTACAAATCCCTTAAAATTTTATCAGTCTTTTCCCCAAAATTTTCCCCAATTTTCCCTCAATTTCTGAAGCTAAAGTTAATATACAACTCTTATTTTTTTTCTATAAATTTTCTTCAGAAGCACAAAACGTTCAAAAAAAGTTTTGAACTAAAAAAAGCTACAGAATGGAAACTCAAGTTGGATGAATTTAAACTGAAACCTATTGATATTCCAAATGGCTTTTCTTGCAGTTTGGCTCATGGACATTTTCTGAAAATCTGCTTTCCGTGGAACTCAACGAACCAAGCTTGCGATTCGAGGAAGAAATCGATGATAAAGGAATTGTGGATAATGTAACTGTGGCAGATGATGGAATCGATTTGTCTGACTATTATCCATCTGTAGAATGGGATATTATGTCGAGAGTAGCAAAGAGAAGAGCTAAAAACTATCCGAGCTGCTGTCCACAAAGTGCTTATATTGATGTTACGGTAGGTGGTAAATTTTGTCACAAGTTTTGAAAAGCAAGTTGAATTATTGGAACTTTGAAATTTTCCATCTACAGTTTGCTGCAGTTATACTGAAAACTAAAATAAAAAAGGAATTCTCCATGAAGAGAATTCGAAAGCACCTACAGTACCACATAGTGGAAAATATTCAACGTTGACTACATACAATAGTATTCCATAATTTTCAAGTTATTCTGAAAGTTTCAGAGTACACAAAACAAAAACAGTGCTTCAATTTTGTAGTTAACAATTTTTATGAACAAATTTATTCAAATGAGATATACCCCTTGAAAGTGTCTCTGTGCTTTTTTATGCAAGTTTCAGTACTTGGTTGGTTTAGAGCAATATTTTGATGAATTTGAAAAAATTGAAGCTTTATTTCTGTTTAGTACACTTTAAAAATTTCAGACAAATTAAAAAATTCCGAGCTTTTCAGGAATTCAAAGTTCCCGTGGTTCCTCGAATAGAAATCCACCCAAGGCACCAACTTTGAGCTCCATTATCTCGTTTCCTTTGAAAGATATTAAAAATTTGTTAACTGATAAAATATTAATCATAATATCAAAAATATTTTGTCAGTTGACGACTTTCTGATAACTTTTACAGGAAATCAGATAAATTGGCTCAAAGTTAGCGGTTTGGGTGGGCTTCTATTTATTAGACTGTTCGCGGCAGATGGTTTTGTACAGAAAATTCTTATTTTTTACCATGATCTGGAAATTGGAAAAAAGGGTCAAAAACAGATTCTGGATTCTGAAATTCAAAAATTCAAAAAACTAGAAAATTCAAAAATTCAGAAACTCAAAATTGAAATCCTGGAAAAAAACAATAAAAATTGTTTTAACCATGAAAAAAATGGCCGAAATTGCTCAAATGGGACTTATCAAAAATTACAAAAAATCCCTAAATTCCTATTTCAGTACTACCTCCAACTCCGCCGCAAACCCTTATTCTACACCGTCAATCTCGTCTTTCCATGCGTCGGAATCTCGTTCCTCACCATTTTAGTATTCTACCTTCCATCGGATTCTGGAGAAAAAGTCACTTTATGTATCTCGATCCTTGTAGCATTGACTATCTTCTTCTTGCTTCTAACGGAAATCATCCCAGCCACTTCGATCACACTACCACTCATCGGAAAGTATCTTCTGTTCACTATGGTCATGGTAACACTCTCTGTAGTGGTCACTGTAGTTTGTAAGTTAGCAGTTTTGTTTTTAAATATGACGTTAAGTTCATTTTTCAGCATTAAACCTCCATTTCCGTACTCCAACTACTCATTTAATGCCAAATTGGGTCAAGAAAGTGTTCCTAAAATGGCTACCTAAATTGCTCTTTATGAGAAGACCCATTGATGATTATGAGGAGAAAATCGATGATAAAAAGAAACCAAAAGATGGAAAGATCGCTTTAAATGTTCATGCTCATCGAGTTTCGAAAGATGTTGGACACAAATTAAAAAATGCGACTATCGATGACACGATTCAGAAGATGTACTACTCTCCACCAGTTGTCAAAGCATTTGAGAATATTTGTTTTATCGCTGAGCTTCTGAAAAAGAAGGATAGAGACGACAAAATCGATGAGGACTGGAAATACGTGGCGATGGTTTTGGATCGACTGTTTTTGCTGATTTTCTCGATCGCTTGTTTTGTGGGAACTGTTATCATTTTGTTGAGGGTGAGTTGTTTTTTTGGGTCAGAAATTCCGAAAATTTCGACCATTTTCTGATTATTTTTTCTGCGTTTTTTCCAATAATTTTTCCCACTTTTGTGATGGCAAAGTGTGATTCTGAAAATTATAAAATCGGAATGTTCCGAAACTTTCAAATTTTCGAAATTTTTAAAATCGGAATATTCCGAGAATTCGAAAAAATTTGAAACCAGAATAATCCGAAAGTCCGAAAATTTCAAAATCGGAATTTTCGCAATTGCTAAAATTTTCCAAGTTGAATAATCCAAATTTATAAAAAACGGAAAATTGAAATACTCCGAAAATCTGAGATTTTAAGAATCGGAATTTCGAAATTCCAAAAAATTGGAATATTCCGAAATCTACCAAACCGAAATACTCCAGAAATTTTAAATTTGGAATATTGTCTAAATTCTAATATTTCGAAAGCTTCAAAATGGGAAAATTCAAAAATTTTGAAATTACAAAATTGGAATATTCCGAAATTTTTAAAATTTTGAATTAGGAAATTTCGACAGTCTGAAATTCCGCATTCTTGAATATAAAACCTAATTTCAGTTTAAAATTTCCAGGCTCCCACACTCTACGACACTCGAAGCCCAATCGATTTGCAGTACCGCCCGGCCAACTTGTCTGCAAATCCAATCAGTGTATAAAACTAAAATTTCCGATTTTTTAACAAATCAAACGGGTACATTAGAGAACTTAATAAATAAAAACATGCAATAAATATACAAGAGATTGATAGTTATACATCTGATAGTGAAAACAACAAGAATTAATCAACAGAAAATGTGAATCCGGGTCTTTTTCGTTTTTGAGGATTCGGAGACGACGTCGAGGCGTCAGATGAAGCGGTTCGCTTCATTGGAATTTTCGGATAGATTTTTCGGACTGGCGCAAGATTAGAAGACGTCGACGGTTGGCTTCGTGACACTTTTTGAATTTTCGGAAGATTGGAATTCGGTTGCATCGACATTACATCCATGTAGGATTTGACTGCTAAACAGTCTTGGCTTTCAGCTGAAAATTCAATGTTTTTGAAGATTTTTTTAACAGAAAATAATCTTACAGCCTATTTTATGTCCACAAATCTCAATTCCTGCCTCTTTGAGTGCTTTCAAAAACGTTGCCAACGCATTTTTAGTAACATTGGAATTAGCACGAATCGGCAGAACTTCCGGAGTGCCCGTCAGAATACAGTACCACGGATACAACATGGACTGCCCATTATGAAATTGGATATCGTCGTAGACTTCTGGCTCAGAATTTGGAAGGTTGTAGCCGTACTAAATACATTTCTTATTAAAAAAACTACAAGAAAAAAGTACGGTTTTCTTCCAATATGACATCATTTGAGTGTAATTTTCAAACGGAGCATCTTCTGGAATTTTCCGATGAATCTTCACAATTTGTCCTTTTCCCAGCTTCGGCAAACACGAAATCCATCGGGGTCTTCGGATTTTTCGGCTGATTGGTCCTGAGTGCAACTCGGTAAATCTCTCATCACTATCCAGAATATAATGCTTAAATGGGTGAATTCTAACAAATTCTGCAGTGAGCTTAATGTAGACGTTTCCTCTTTCAGAACAATGAGTCATGATTTCTAAAAATTTTGAAAAATTTGACAACGTTTTTTGGACAACAAAATTACGAATTCTGGGAAGATTCGTGTGGTTCCACGACAGGAAATCACCTTGTACGAAGCACTCGCCAATCTAAAAAACTCAAAACTTCGATGTTACTAATTCTAAAATGTAAAAAAACCCACTCGAAACCATCCAACTTTCTCCATGAAATAGAAAACCCCAAACGGTAAAGAAGACTCAATTGACAAGGTGTCACAGTCGCACTCCATTTTTATCTGAAAATCAGAAATCATCTAATTGTTGTATAGAAATTATACTACCTTTATCATTTGTTTCTCCAAAAAATCAACGAGAACTTCATTTTTGAGGTTTTCCGGGTCAATAGTCAGCAAAATTGTGCACAAATCGCGTTGTGGAATCGCCAAGCAACCTCCGAACGCTTTGCAAGTCTCCAGAAGATCTCGAGAAAGCTTGCTTAGAATTGCGAGCGCTGCATTTTTCCGATTATCATATTCCATATCGACCTGATTAAAAAGAAATGGATGTTGATGATTATTTTGAAGAGTTTACCGATAAATAAACCGATTTCAACTTTTTCATGTTTAAAGTAACCACTGGAATCACTTGCGAATTCATTTTTTGATGAATTTTGTTGTCAGGAAAAAAAAAAAGAAAACTGGCTCGCACCGTAAATCGACACAACGTAAACACCACCACTGCGGCATGCACAGTTTCTCTACTACTGTAGTCTTTACAAAAAACATTATCGAAAATAATCGTTTTTTTTATCTCCGCCCACCCACCGCAAATGCTTTAATGATCAGTTAGGCATAATCATCTCATTTGTGAGTCTTCGACCAATCGCAACAATGTCCGGACGTGGAAAGGGAGGAAAAGGTCTTGGAAAAGGCCTCGGAAAAGGAGGAACCGTGCGTCACCGCGCTGTCCTTCGTGATAACATCCAAGGAATCACCAAGCCAGCCATCCGCCGTCTCGCCAGAAGAGGAGAATCAAGCGGATTTCAAACCTCATTTACGAGGAAACCCGTGGAGTTCTCAAGGTGTTCCTTGAGAACGTGATCCGTGATGCTGTCACCTACTGCGAACACGCCAAGAGAAAGACTTTCACCGCCATGGACGTCGTCTACGCCTTTAAGAGTCAAGGAAGAACACTCTACGGATTCGGAGGATAATTTTATCATCTTCTTGCTTCCCAAATACCGAACCCAACGGCCTTCTTTAAGGCCACAAAAGCCAAAAATCCATAGTTCAGAACTAACTTTATTGAATCTACGGGCAGAAAACAAAAGAAATTAAAGCAGCTATTATGCCTGTCTGAGAAAAAAAAGGGTGAGACGCAGAGAAATAGTGTCTGCGTCTCCACTTAATATGTGCTATTTAGGCTCTCCGCTTCGATATCGCTACCGTATTCAGACTGCAAAAAATACTCTCTAACCTTTTTTTTCTCAGACAAGCATAATACGAACATAATAACACAAAATTAAACATTTAATCAGAATTCAAAAAGTTGAGCATTCTGCTGAACAGAAATGAAACGTCGAGTCCAACGATGAATCCCGGGGTTCCAGAGCTCAACAAACCGACTGCGCCGGAGAAGACAGCAGCACGATCACGGCGAAGAGCGTCTTCATCGAATCTGGAAAATTTTCGAACTTTTAATAATAAAGCAAATACAAGAAAACCTCAAGCTGTAACACTTTCCGTACAAGACATAATCACACAATCCACGTAGCTTCAAATAAGTGAAATAGGGTCCCAAGGCGGCGCCAACCAGTGCTCCAGCCTGTCCGCCAGTTACGAATCCATTGCTGAAAATGTAGTATTACCCTGGTATAATTTCAAGGCAAATTATCATTGACTATATGTATCATTGACTACAAAGTCTCATTGACTACAAAGTATCATTGACTACAAAGTTTTATTGACTACTTTTTGTATCATTGACTACAGCACTTGGGTTCAAGCCAATGGGTCAGAAATCGCGCCCCAGTAAACGTGAGATTTTAGAAAAAATCCGCTGCCGAATTATGTGGCTGAGGGGGTACGACGAATTCGAACGTTTTCAAATTCGAACAGACCTAAAATCGAACTGATTCAATTCAGAACAGTCCTTTTTTCGCACACGTACCAGAACAGAACGCGGACAGAATCGAATTGTTACAAGTTCGAACTGGTAAGGGGTCGAACTGTCCCA